CGGAGTTTGAACGTCTAACGTTCCATTTGCGTTTGTCAATGTCCATTGCATCAGGATCTTGGGAACCTCCATGGTAATGAATGAATTTGCATTCATACCAAGATTCCTTCCCTTCGAGGATATGCTTCGTTGCTATCGCGGTCCTGGCTTCTCCTGCACACTGGATCCACTCAATAACCATGGCAGGTGTGCGCCCTGAATTAAGGACCCATTCACGATATTCTTTGTTTAATCCTTTTCCAAAGAAGATCCCTGCTTCACGTGACTCTTCCTTGAGTTGGGCTTTATTGACAAGCCCAGTAAACTCGGCAATATACAACTCGAGTTCTCATCTGCCTTGTGAGATGTTGGAAAGGTGAAGGATGGCCAGAGCAGTTTGGTCGCCAGACTCAAAAGTAGCTTTGAGACGCTCAACGAACCTTTGGAAGGTGTCTGAATACCAAATGGTTCCATCAAGAAGCTTATTTTCGTTTTGGTAGTTCTCGGCGAACGAGACAGCGGCCCCCTTCGTCATATATGTAAGGGCGAACGAGATCTTGAGTGATTCCGTGTTGTAGACGTGTTTGTTAAGGTTTAAGTAACCTTCGACTTGCGTGATCCAAGTCTGAAGCTCATTATGGCTTCCGTCATATTCTCCAGGACGCCCGACATTAAACTCCCTTCCTCCATTGGGTGGGCGGACATCATACGAGTCGTCAGGGTCTACTGGGGCCTTACCCTTACTGGACCCTCCAATGGGGACCTCTGGGGGAATTACCTTTCCATAGTTCCTGGCGTACCAAGCTCGTAGAGCTGAGTCCATAGGCATTCCTGTTGGAAAAGGGTCACTTGACTGTCCACCAGCTATCTTGCGCCAGTCTTCCACCAAAGAGCGCCTCTGTTCTTCCAACCTTTCCTTCAGCTCCACTTCGGAGAAAACCTTCAGTGGCATCTCAGGGGCTGATTCTCCATGACTGATCATCATGGACATTGATGTTGATTTGCATGCTTCTTGTTCTTCCTTGAGGACTGATCCGAAAGAAGTATCGGACTTCTGATCGTCTTCTTCTTCTGAACTAAGTGTGACTTCTGATTCCCTAAAATGGGACAAATATGACAACCTGGGATTGCTAGCTGTGGCTGACAGCCCTAGTCTTCCAGGTATCGGCGGTAAAGGTGGGTTCCTTCCAAGTCCTAATGGGGTGTTATGAGGAGGGACTGGAGGTCTCGACTTTTGTGAGTTAGACACTTTAACGGAAAGTGACAACGAAGACTGAGGGAGGATTTATTTCTCAAGAGAAACCTGTCGGTGTGGTTGAGGATAGTGCGAGTGGCTTTACACGTAGGGAGACACAAGCGCTGACTCTAGGGAGGCGATCTATTAAAGCCTAGTGGCTGCCTGTAGAGCGGTGAACTTGATTAAGGGTAGAGGGATGCTTCTCAATTTTGTTATCGACTTTGCTGGTTGAGTTGAGGAGTGGAGACGAGAGAGAAGGCAAGTTAGTCTTTACGTGTAGGGAAACCAACGAGCCTTTGACTTGGATAAGATGGTTTGTTAATGTTCAGTAACCAGGGGCAAGTAGACTTTTCATGAAGAGGTCGATGAGCCCCGAAAGCTGCATAGAGTTTTTTGATTTTGTTATGCCTGAGCGCAGTGACTTCTTCAAATAGAATAGGCACAAAGCGCGCGAGGTGGGAGACTATGGGCCGAACTTGTCGTAACCCCTATGGCTGAGTTATCGCGATGATCCGACAGAGGTTCTGTCCACTGGTGAGTCCCTAAGGTTGTTCGCACTGAGAGAGAACAAGGATTTAAAGCGAAGGGATGAAGCTCAGTTGCAAGCTATCAAAAAACTGCAGATACAGGACGAAGTACGTAGGATTAAATACTCCTAAGTACGAGTACCGTAGCAGTCGCGTGTGACACGTCATGACGCGTATCCACAGCAGTCAACGAGTTCATCAATGAAACAGAAAGAGTCATCCGGTGTCAATGATGGGGATAGTCAAGGATACGAAGGCTATACCAGCTGCACAATCAACATGCAGCAAGGAGCCTGACACCAGATCTATAGTACAACATATAAGCAACATAAACGAGTCAGAGACGAGTCATCAGAGCAAAAAGGAAACAAGTCGTCCATCAGAGAGGGCAGTGGAATACTGGATCACATTGGCAATGCGGTCTCAACAGGTATTGGAAATACCTGTAACATGGGAGATCCAAATGTTCCCTGGAGCATTCGAGCCCCTAGGATGGTGACGATTACTAGAGATGTGACAAGGCATGTGACACACATGACTGCAAAGAGTTGAAAAAGGAAGGACCCCTGACGGAAGCGTAACACAGTACAGCTTAGGACATCAAATTAAGTCACCATCCATCCTTCTGTAGGCTGACAGCAGTCTACCCTATCGCTTTCTATCATGCTTGCCTGGCCCTATGAAGCAATACTTGCCACAACCCAGCCAATCCCACTTACGATCTCTTGATTCCCCCTGCTACTTATGATGAGGCAGTCTGTCGAAGTGATGCATCCAGGTGGAGGGCAGCCATGGATAAGGAAATAGATCAGCTAAGGTCGATGAATGTTTATAGCCTTGTTCCCCTTCCTCCCAGGGCTCACGTGATAGGAAGTCGCTGGGTGTTGGAGTATAAAGAAGGAGACGGTAAGGGAGGGCCAGTCGAGAAGGCATGTTTTGTTGCGAAAGGGTTCACTCAGGTACTGGGCAGGGACTTTGGGCAGACGTTTGCACTGGTTGCAAGGCAGAGTTCCATTCAACTCCTCGCTGCCAGAGAGGACTGGGAACTACACTCGCTGGATATCAAGAGGGTGTTCCTTCATGGAAAGGTCAAGGAGAGGGTGTACATCAAACAACCACCTGGGTATGAGGAGTATGGCCCAGACGGCGAGGAGTTGGTTGGGTTACTTCATTCTGCTCTCTATGGAATTAAACAGGCCGCCTACCACTTCTACGAAACACTTCGCTCTGAACTCGAGAGCCAGGGGTTCCAGCACAGCGAGGTAGATCATGCAGTGTTTGTCTTTTGTCAGTTAGAGGTCATCTGCATGGCTGCCTGGCATGTTGATGATGGCCTCGGTGGAAGCAACAATGAGTATTTTCTCGCTGAGGTCAAGCATCGTTTACACCTCTGTTTTGGCATCTCAGACATGGGACCTGTCACGAAATACCTCAGCATCCAGTTCGAATGCAATCATCACACCTGTGAACTGTGGCTTCACCAGAGCGAGTACATTGTCCACCTCCTCCAGGAGTATGATCTTGTTGACTGCCACCCGGTACACCTTCCAATGGACCCCACTCATCCTTTTCTCACTGATGCCAAGGCAGCAAAACTGGTTGAGCCCGCTGACCTAAGGTCTCTTTACCCGAAACTCATAGGCAAACTGTTATACCTCTCTGTTTGCACCCATCCTGATATTTCCCTTGCCATTCAGCATCTTTCACAGTATCTCTCCCATCCCAGTGCATGTCTACTTGGAGCCACAAAACATGTCCTTCGTTACCTTGCAGGCACAGTTAATCATCACCTTCACTACAGGGAGTGCACATGCAGTCCTCTTCTGCATGGATTCAGTGATGCTGACTGGGCAACAAACCCCAAGGATCATATTTCTGTGACAGGATATTGTTGGTTCTATTGTGGGGGTGTTGTCGCCCACTCTTCTAAAAAACAGACTATGCAGGCCCTGTCCTCCACCGAAGCCAAGTATATGGCGGTCACTGCAGCCATCCAGGAAGGTCTGTGGATTCGGTCCTTCCTCCTGTCTGTGGGTTTCCCGGTGCCACCCCCCACTTGTCTTTACGCTGACAATGCAGGGGCGATCGCACTCTCGCGAGAGGCTGCAAACAACCATCGCACCAAACATATCGACATACGGTATCATTTTTGTCGTTCTCACATCGAAGCTGGGACCTTCCTGCTTGAGTGGATCCCGTCCTCCCGTAACACCGCTGATGTCCTCACCAAGGCCCTGCCTCGTCCGTCCTTCTCCTGTCATGTCGCTGGTCTCTCGCTCGTGTCCCGTTGAGGGGGCATCGGAGGTCGTTTTCAATGGTCACTTTGCTCGCTTCTCGTTTCTGTTTTTCCTCCTCTGCATGCAGAACGTTTCTCCTTTTATCTGTTCTCTTTTCTTCTCTCTACGCATGGAACTCACGTTAGTTTGGACTTTCTTTTGTCCGTTTGCACGTGTCCCGCTGTGGGGGCGTGTAGGTGTCAACGGTCACGTGTTAGGCGCTCTTGTACTTATAGAACTGTTTACGCTAGTTTACACCTCAGCGCTTGTGTCTACGACGCTGAGGTGGGTACGGTAACCACTGAGGACACGCATGTATACTTACCTCCTGTAGCGTGTCTTATCAGGTATTGTCAATGGCAGCACTTGTGTCTACGACGCTGAGCATGTCTTATCAGTTTACAACAGCACTGTCAGTCTCAGTGGAAAGGTACGATATTGTATCAGTCTTGCATCGCTTTGGACTTGGTCAGAGAATCAACTTGAAAGATTGTAGACTTCTTGGATAACTCGAGTTCCATGTGCCATCAGTATCCTTCCCTCACGCTGGTGTACAATTTTGCTCAGGCCTACGGCGACGCGGGACACGTTCACATGCATAACGCCTCTCGTATTCCTCACAACTTGGCCTTGAACGCAGGCTCACTCCTGTGGGCCTCGTTCGACATCTCTGTGTCCCGTACCAGTTCCCTCGCTACACTCGAGTGTTCCCTCTCGCCATCTCCAAATTCCGGATCTATTCCCTCCAACGAGGAGTGCGAAGCACGACGGAGAACATGTTCCACGATGGAAGGTGCCACATGTCCCAACCCAGGCGGCCAATGTGGATAACCACACGACTTTTCCGACAACCCGTTCTTCTCCTCATCGGACGGTCCATACTTTTCAGTGGCTGCTAGCCACGTCGCAAACGTTTCAGAATGTATGGAGCACCTAGAATATTCCGACGAGGAATCAGATTGCCACTTGTTGTGCTGCAAGAACGTAGATGAGACGGGTCGTCCGACGCTACCGTAGAGAACCCTAACTTTTTCCGGAAAGGCGGTTGTTGTTGTTGTACTGGTGATGGTGACAGTGACCCTGCTTGGATCCAGGACGAACCTGTCCTGGGTGAATCCTGACTTCCGTAGCTCAGCTTGCACGATGACTGAAGTGTTCCCATTGATCACGGATTTTTTTTAGAAAGGATGTCATCAGTACCGCGCCACCGCTAGTAGGTAAATAGATAAGGCAGAAAGAAGCATGACACCCACGAAATTGTTTGAGCCCAAGCCCGAAATGCACCCTACATATTAAAGCCAGGATGCAGGAAACAATGAGTAGGAGGCCAGCCATTATCGAAAGGGAACCCAAAAACGCCCACGCTCCAATCTCGTAGCGGTACAGTGCGCTGGTGAACAAGAGAGCGGAGAATACGAGCAGGACAACGTTAAGAAAAGAAAAGACCAAGAACCAGCTTTTCTGTTCGAGCCGGATCGAACGTAAACCCTGTATAAGATAGCGGTGAACTGTTGAACGGACGCGAAGCAAATGTCGTTATACGTACCAAAAGCCACCATGGAAGAATGATCTATGGTACCCAGCCACTGATCAGCAACGAGCCCTATTAATAAAAGAAGATAGATACGTACAGCAGAAACAACAACGAAGGCCACGTCGAACAATGTGCTGTGCGAATAGGGAGAAATAATGCCAGTCTTGCGCTTGTCGAACCAGGCCGCAGCAGAAGCGACAACGTAAAACGAGGCGAATTGAAGGAATACTGTCAGCCAATGTAGGAGCTGTGCGTAATGAATCAAGTAAATCCCATATATATTCATGGCGACTTTGTAAATGGACGGACCTTCAAGACTCGGGTGACTGCGGGTGACGAACCAACACTACTGAACATCTCTTTTCCGTAGATCTATATGGAAACTCATGGTCAGTGATATGTGCCCAACACGAGTCCAGGCGAGTTCCTACCTTCACCAACTTGTAAACAAGGAAGATCGTACACAAAAAGACACTGCCGTGGATTCCGAGGATCTGGGGAGGACGAGTAAGGTGAGCGGAGATATCCACTGAGGGTTAAGTCTAAGGAAGTCGTACTTACAGCATAGCGGATGACATCGCTCGGCCAACCACCAAGAACATCTACGCCATCGCACGCTCCATTGACGATATCGGTATACGTTTTCTTCGCAGCTCGTTCACTGTAGAGGCGGAAAATAGACCACGCAGTATTGGCACCATGACTAGCTAGAACGACGACTCTGCGAAAAGAAAGTTGAGAATTCACCTCGGTTTTTCTGACTCGCCTGCACGTACAGGTGTGGGATCGATTCCATAATCAACTGATACGAAATTCCTAAGTAACGAGAGGAAATGGCACGAATACAATGGGGTAACACGCACAGATACCAGGGAAGTTTGAGAACAGCCAACACTGGAAAGCGATGTGGATGACGTCTTCACTCTTGGCATCACGGAGGCTATGGCAATGAAAAAGACCGGCGTTAGCTCCTAGTAATACAGTAGTGGGCACAGCAGCAAACTAACAAAGTTTCCAACCAGGTAAGAGATTCGACACACTGGAGGCTGAGAGTCGTCGAAGAGCCTGGATTAGACACGACCACTCCTTGTGTCGTGCCTGCACTATCAACGAGGGGGTTTATGGACACGTCCCGACTAGCAAGCCCTGCAGCATCGGTGGCAACTAACTGCCCAACGTCATGATCAGCGAACTTGTCACGAAGGACTACGCATGCCACGGCATATACAATAGTTAACCTCACCTTGATTGTTGCTTGCCTGTTCCATTATAGACGATATCGCAGGATGTACCGCGAAGACTTGGGATTCCGTAGCATATCTCAATCACGTCACCATGCACGACCGTAAATCCCCTCTGTACACCGGCGGCATCAATGATGTCCGACATGAGCTTCCTCCCTTGAGCACTGACGCTGACTGACAAGCCTAGCAACGTCGATTGCGTGACACATGTTGCGAGTGCCAGGAAAAAGAAACACAGAGTGACACGGCATGTGGTTGCGCGGGTGTGCTGTACGATGCGACAGAAGATATCCACAGGCTCAGTTTTGACGCTTCCACAAGGAGAACTATCAAAAAAGACATACCCGTTTCCACAACGCGGATTGAAAGGACGCGCTGAAAACATCTCTGAACAGCCATGTCATATCGACTTCGTGCTTGTGAAGCAATTCTGTTGCTCTGCGGGAGCGCCAAAACTACGAACCAGTCGTGAAAATCCAGCCAGCTGGATATCTAAAAGAATGAAAGAAAACAAGGCAGCCCTTGCTAAGGGAGCGACTGAGGGGGAGACCGGAAGATGACCCAGTAACACCAGGTTACGGTTGGGAAAGGGCGAGCGGCGCCTCAGATACGCACCGCCTGGTACTTTTATAAGGTCGACAAGCGTACTTTGGCAGGTGCCAGGCGGAGGCAGTTCCCCCAGTCTAATACGTCCATCTTACTGTTATATCGCCCTGACGGTGAGAACCAATCATTGAGAGAAAAGATAAGATATGGATCACCGTTTGCACAGCTCTTGTTGATCACGATGAGGGATATACCTGGGTGTAAGCACATACCTAGTGGCGCCTACCAACAACCCAAGGATCCTAACTAAATTGTGATCAACGCAGATTCCACAGGCGTCGCACATTGCAGACGCCGGAAGCGCTAACAGGGAAATGGATATACATATGCACTTGAAGTTCCTGAAGAATGAAAAAAGAATGAGCAAATCGACTAAATGTTTGTCTGATAAGTCTAGATCATAGCTGTGCTAACGAATGACAGGGAAAAGGAATGTGGTCCGTGACGACGGCTACTCTACTGCAAACTGTTTGGGTAAGGCTGGGCGTTTGAAATCGTGGCCTCATGAGCTACCGAACAGCTTCCGTGGTTGATACAATCAGCAATTTCTTTTCCAACTCTCTGGCCCTCAAGGTAGGCACCTTGCAAGAAGCCTATACACCCCATCAAGTAAGTTGCAGCTCTTAGGTAAGTAGAAGACGTGGACTAACCGAAGTACTTGAGACTGGTAGCCTCCCCCGCGAACCAGAGGTGATTATCCACGTTGGCCCCCAAGTTTTCTACATGTCCAGGTACGAAAGATGCCCCCCAGTTGGAGTATGCGCCACGATACAGGGCATTAGTGCCCCAGGTAGGGATGTGGATATCGACCGGATCGGGGGCACCGGGGTACATTGTGCGAAGAACCTCCATGACCTCGTTCTGGAGCTGCGTGGTGTTCATCTGCTCAACGTAGGGCGACTGGTCACCCTGAAACCTCGTTGAGTAGAGGAAATTTAAGGCACGGTCGACATTCACTTACTGTCACAGTAACAAAAATGACTCCGGAACCAGGGAAGAAGTCGGGATGATCCAAGCTTTGCCATACCGGGAATCTCCCCCGCTGCAGGTCCGCGTAGAGTCCCATCTCAGTATCGAACCAGAAAGTGTCATTGAACTGCAGGAAGATCTTGTTGTACCCCGCCTGCCTTTGCGTTAGGGAATGTCATTCGATCAAGTCATTGCTTACCATTTCTATGCTGTTGATAGCCTCACGTTTCCAATCGGGAAGAGTAGGTTCGAAAACAACGTCGGTATTTTGCAGCACACCAACACTGAACGTAACCAGCGCATGTTCCGCGGTAAGGTTGTATCCGCCTGCTGTCAGAACGGTCACCCCGTTCTGGTCGTAGTGGATGGACGTTACGGTCTGGTTGTAGAGGATCTGGTTTGTCTTGAGGAAATCGACAGCTTCCGCTTGAACAATCCATGCAATGCCACGCGGGTCGATAGACATCATGTTCACATCCGAATAACCTCCGGACTCAGGGACGTAGGTGAAATTGTTGTTCTATAGCGAATCAGGGACATCGCAGCCACATAAAACGCTACGCATGTACTCACCCACTGCAGAGGCCAACCACGATGTTTGCGAAGGGGACTACGAAAATGGGTCAGTGGCGTCGTCCAGTGGCAGTGAAGGAGACACCGTCTTACCTGCGCATCTAAATTCCAGGTGGGGAGAGAGCGGATCAGTTTCAAAAGTGACAATGTAAGGGGGGAGACAAAACTTGCATTCCTGAAACACGGTAAGGCCGCACTCCTACCGAAGTATGAAGGGTTACATACGAAATCAACCTGGTAGTACTGGCAAGCCTCCTCTTGTGGGGTCGTGGGAGCCATACCCAAGTAACTGTAAGCTGACCGGAGATCCATATCAACCTTGTTCTCGCGCAATCGCTGCCCTATTTCATAAACCTTAGAAAGATTAAATAGCCACCAAAATTCCCTGGCGTACCTGCAACCACTGTAGCGTTGGTGAACGCATCTATCGACGCTGTGAAGGTGTCCGAGTAGTTGCTGGGCCCAGTGTAATCGAAGAAGGCTACGACAGGGATGAGTGTGACCGCAAAGAAGTTAGTGTAAATTACAAACGCACATACGCTCCCGTACAGGTCGCTCTCCACCACACTCAAATTGTGTTTCTGTGCCAACTCCCAAACTGGATTAGCATTTCCATCACCATCCTGAGTTCCCTGAATCCAGCTTGGACCCATCTCGACAACGATTTGTCTACCCGCAACACCGAAGGGCTTTTGAATCATGCGTCCGCCGAATTCTGTTTTGGCGTCCACAACCACGAAGTCGTCGATGCCTTGCTCATGGAGAGTACGGGCTGCGATAATACCAGCCATACCACCACCAAGGATGAGCACCTTGGTGTTATTCGGGGCAACACCGGCTTGGGTGAAGTTGGCCAAACTTTGAGAAGCGGTGATACCTTGAGCGGCCGCGCCAGCCAGGAGGCTGAGCAGCACGGTCCCAACAGAGACCCTGATTAGAGACATGGGAAGAGAGGGATCAGTGAAAAGATTGTGACAGAGCAGCGCGCTGCATTCTTTTTGGTATTGGCCATTTTATATGTCCTGGAAGCGATGTAGAAGCGACTTAATTCAACTGCGACCATTACGCGAAGTTTAACAGGTGTCCTGGAACTGGCTCCCAGGCTATTCGCCTGCTAATCGCGGGTGTTGTGCGGGTCGCCACTTCACCTGACAGAACCTCATGATATCAACTCGGAATGCTTGATCAGCCTGAATATATTGCATGATGGCCGGCCATCGTAGTCCACATACGGGCCGCCGGGAGATGGCTCCGCGCGTCGTATGGCCAGCGATAATGCCTCGGGGTGTTCAACAGCCACTGATCAGTGTTGTATGTTTGAGGCTTGGGCGGGCGATGGCATGTCATCCGTACATCCCGAATCTGTCGACTGGCTGTGGTTGGGCAGTGCCACCAAGAACCTGGCCTCAAAAACAGTGCAGCTGCTCTGGGACACCTGAACGATTGACGTGACCCGTCCTAAAGTCGCGTAGGTCTTAATGGAAATGACATGGGCGGGTTTTTTCCCAGAAGCTCCACCAGCCTTGAGGAATCTTACTCGTTAACGACAGCGCTGAGAAGTGCGGACGCCGGTTTACAAGGAATCAACTCTCGTTGAAATGGCCACCCGCTCCTGCGCCGCTTGTACTGTAATTGCTAGCTAACAACGTTTGAGCTCCGGATATTATCATAGGCTGAACTAGTTTGACTACTGTATCGGGAGATGCCGTGCCAACGTTACACTGCCCGCCATCTTATCAGATTCCACTATCCCACCAACAGGATACACTTCGTCATGCCTACGACCCGCGAAGATTTGGAAAAAGCCATCCATGATTCGTTCCGAGTGTCGCATCTAGAAATCGAAGACCAGTCGAGTGGCTGCGGTGCAAATTATGCCATCGTGCTCGTGAGCGAAGTACGTGTGTGCATCGCTCCGTTCGTTCAGGACGAGGCTCATGAAGCGCCCGCCTTGCAGGATTTTGAAGGCAAGCTTAGCCTCGCGAAACATAGAATGGGTTGCGTGAAAGTACTCTCGACGCCTGCTATTGTGGTCCTCACCCTTTCTCTCTCAGTGAACGAGGCTTTGAAAGAACAAATATCCCAGATGCACGCATTTTCCCAGGTGAGGCTGCTGCAGACGTCTCATCTTGCTTAGTTCAGACTTGTCCACAGTCAGAAAACCTTCACCCCGAAACAGTACGAAGCATACTTGGCAAAGGGTAATTAAGCTGCACGACGGAACCAATGATTTAATCTCCGGGAAAAACTTTCGACGAGTTGCGGGTGGGGTCGGTGCGAACGCTCTGGTCCGCAGTGCGGGGTCAAGTACTTAGAAGCGGGCCCTGAGGCGGAGTAGCATGTCGGTCGTCGTCGTAAGTAGGCCCTTCCGACACGTACTCTCTAATCCACCAGTGTCATCAAGCAAGCTAGGAATGTGGATTCGATCAGTATTAGTGAGTTCGATTGGTTGTCCATACCTGCAGTGATGCATCGCGTCCAGACAGGACATTCTTCGCGAGGCGGGCTTTTAGTCTACCTGCTAGTGTTGTGTGAACATCGAGAGGACGTGCTCCGATCCGAAGGACCTCTATGCAAGCAGATCAATGCACATCCAGAATCAGGGGGCGCCATCGTTCCGCAGAAACGCCCTGCAAGCGCAAGGCACGCCCAACCAGTGATCCGGAGGAAGGAGGGCTTTACGAAGTGGGTGAACGTCAAATTACGGCCACCCATGTACCTGAGAGGTGCCTGAATCTGCGCCGCCGTTCAAGCTACTGTCTGTGGCGTGTCGCCACGTGTCCCCGGGAGTACAACTGAGCCCGCGGACTTGCATACAAAACTCAGGTACGTTCAGGGTGACGGTTTCTTGATGCGTGGCGATAGGGGGATACTTTGTTAGAAAACTCGACACTGATGTTCCCCCTAAGAGCGCAGAAAGCCTGGGAATATAAGCACGCGCTCGCAAAGGTTCGATACGCGCTCGTAGGTTCACGCCCTCATGTGTTTAGGGTTCAAGCATTCCCTTGTGTGTCCTGGCTAATGTCGTTGTTCTGGTTTAGTATATCCGCACAATCATTACCTAGCGGATACACTGCGTGTCATTTTTGCAGTGCCCCAGGTGTGGATTGGACGGTTCATCAACCCCGCTTTGGCTGCTGAAACCTAGGACCTCTTGCGCCCCATGCGTTTGATGTCACTCCTTGAATACGATTTAGGTCCGCGGGGCTTGTTCCTTACGAATATCGTTGATGTGGCGCCTTGAACACTCACATCACGCAGGGTTGCAAGCACAGGGAGATGAACCACTGAATGATTCCCCGGTTTCATGTCAGATGCGAACATCATCGCACGCATATGGAACATGTCGATATTTGGGTATCATTCGCGGCCCGAGATCGTCATTCTCTCAGCAACACATTAACGCACAGTGGAAACGGGATCTACTCTGTGCGTGATTTGACTCGATAGATCTACACCCAAAATGTAGTTGGTTGTATTTCTGCCCGATGTCTCAACTGGTAGACGTTTTTTTGCGATGAGTTTCGAGCAAGGTACCACAACAGGCAACAAGACAAGATCATACCAAGTCCGAATGCTGCGGTCGAGGGCAAATTGGCGATGTGTCTGATTGAGTAGCGATGAGTAAGATAGGAGGGCCTTGAACCGTAGTGTCCGAAATGCGAACACCTGAGAGGTCCTCTCTATTCCTCTGCTCGAGAGCCACTTCCAAGCTCCCGGAGGCTAACTTAGGAGACAGATATCCGCGGCGCGTGTCGAAAACAGCCGCAAAGAATACGCAGCACCGAGTGCCGTAATTGGCAACTGTAGGTTCCCGCCTTTCCGTCAGTGTCTCAGCTGGCACGTCATCCCAAGGCGGATAGTCCAGTATCATCGTCAGATAGTCGGAGGTTCATATACAGCACTATGACACCCTACCTGAAAAGCTGGATGGGGTAAACTGGATATTGCATGGAAAGCATGAGATAGGACGTACTTCAAACAGCAGGCACAACTCACCTAGTTCTAAAGCGTTGGACGATAGTAACAGAACTTGGCACAGTACATCGCCATGTACTATGCCAAATTCTGTTCGTGGGACAGCCGTCTTTAGGTTTACAAGAACGGGATGCTTTGTTGTTACGCTCCAGGTATTCACAAAAGGCATCCACAGCCTGCCCGTGATATCATGGGGAGATGGATGTGGAATGTAATCCACCCCCCCATTTGGACCCGCTGACTTTGGGGGTTGTCATCAGTAAGCGAACGGACATACAACAGAAACGGTACTTAAGAACCTCCCATGGCCACCCATTAGGTACTTGAAGCATTTCTGGAGAAAACGGAGGAGTCAAACTGACCCAAACTTCGAATACCACGACAGGTTTCATCTTTCCAAGCGGCCTCAAGCATAGTGCATAACTCGTGCTAACTCCTGATCAGGCAGAATGTTGCGTTGAATCCTGGACCCCAAGTACCACGGATGTTTGATTCGTTCGTAACGATGGTTTGAAGAAGGCTACCGTAGACCAAAGTACCCCAATAACCCCGAGAGTCTGAGTGCCTTAGAGGACAGGAGGACGTTCGATGCACTCATTCACGTTGTCGTCAAGAACATTGCAGATGGAATAGAGAGACATGATAGTCGGGAAGTCTGAACGCTGTTTGGAGTGGGGCCTTTTATAATTTCCGAATCAAGTCGTGCCACTTTGTCGTGACTAACACCTTGCTAACACCTAACAGGACGTACTACAGAGGATCATACAGGACGTTGATGGTATTATTGTCAGCTTCGTATGGACATCCAGTGTCGTGCAGGACTTAATATTCAGACCCCTTAGAAAAATAGCACCATGTAAGTTAGCGCAGTCAACAACCCCTTTCAAATGTTCGGCACCATGTTTCAGACAAGTGGAAGAAAGGATCAAAAAAGTTCGATTGTACAGAGTAGTGTTGTACAGAAAAAAGCATTGGGTCATTGTCATCGTAGCGCAACGTTACAATGTTACAGGAGGTGCGTGAGCGAATGCAGAGAAACATTTCCACGCCTACTATGCAGCTGAAAGAATCTCGAAGATGCCCATTGCAAGCTACCTGGGTAGGACCGGACATTCCGAACTGTGGCATCATGTACTAGACGGGCAACGCTGCGGGTTGTTAATACATGCAGCGATGTTGGTCGCCGCGTTCTGGCCCTCCAAGTATGCGCCATGCAAGAAACCTACACCCTACGTGGTTAGCGGATAGCCACGGAGGAGAGATCGAGACTAACCGAAGTACTTAAGGCTGGTAGCTTCACCTGCAAACCAAAGGTGACCGTTTACCGGAGCACTCAAATTGTACGAGTGTTGAGGTACGAAGGACGCTCCCCAGTTAGAGTACGAGCCGCGGAACAGGGGAGCTCTGCCCCAGATAGGCAACCAGATATCGATTGGATCGGGGGCATTAGGGTACATCCTCCGAAGAACCTCCATTACCTCTAACTGCACTTGCGTAATGTTTTTGTTGAGTTGCTCGAGATAATTCGCATAATCACCCTTGATCTTATGAGCCAAGGAAATATGTGCATAATTGCCAACGACAAACTTACCGTCACAGTAACGAAGATGATCCCGGAGCCGGGGTAAAGGTCCGGATGATCTAAACTCTCCCACACCGGATACCTGCCTTTTTGCTGATCGGCATAGAGTCCTATCCCAGTGTCGAACCAGAATTTTTCCTTGAATTGCAAGAAGATCTTGGTGTACACCGGCTAGTTTGGACATCAGCGAAATGTCCCTGGGTGATTGATCGTCTTACCATTTCTATGCTACTAATAGCCTCTCGTTTCCAGTCCGGGAGCGCGGGGTCGAAGACGACGTCAGTGTTTTGCAACACGCCGGCGCTAAACGTAACCAGTGCATGATCTGCAGTGAGGGTGTATCCATCTGTTGTCTGTACGGTCACTCCATTCTGATTGTATTGAATGGTCTTGACAATCTGGCTGAAGAGGACCTGACTCGTATTGAGGAAGGTAGCAGCTTCCGCTTGGACAATACATGCAATGCCACGCGGGTCCACGGACAGCATGTCCACATCCGAATAGCCTCCAGCTTCGGGATCAAAGGTGTAGTTGTAATTCTATCTTCCATTAGACAGGAGAGACATATAAGCGTCAGTGGGTACTCACCCAAGCAGCGGCCAGTGTTGACGTTTGCGAGGCATCCTATGAGAATGGTCAATATCTCCAGCACTCACGGCAAGTAACTCAGCTTGCCTGTGCATCTAAATTCCGATCCAGAGAGAAGGGATCAGCTCAGACGAACGAAGTAAAAGGAACAACAAGACTTGCATTCCTGAAGCGGGTATCAGTCTAAAATTATTATTGAAGATGAACACACATACATAATCGATCTGATAGTACTCGCAAGCCTCCTCTTGCGGCGTCTTTGGAGCGATGCCCAAATAATTATAGGCTGATCTGAGATCCAGATCAGTTTTGTTCTCCTGCCACCGTTGCCCTATTTTATATCGTCAGGAGCCTATGAGAGCACTAAAATGATCTCCCGCACCCGCAAGGGCCCTGGCGCTGTCGAAGGCGGCCAATGACGCCTCGAACGTTTCGGAGTAGTTGTTAGGCCCGTTGTAATCGAAGAACGCTATTGCAGCAAAATGAGCACGATCCACGAAGATGAAGAACATAAACGCCGAACACACTTATGTCCGTAAACAAATTACTCTCTACCATCGACAAGTTGTGTTTCTGCGCCAGCAGCCAGACGGGATTAGCGGGTCCACTACCTGTTTGGGTTCCATGGATCCAGTTTGCTCCCTTCTCAATGACGTATTCGGATCCGTTGACACCGAATGTCTTCTTCGCCATACGCCCCCCAAACACGTGTTTGGCTTCCACAATCACGAAGTCGTCGATACCCTGCTCATGAAGTGTACGGGCTGCTATGACGCCGGCCATACCACCACCAAGGATGAGGACCTTGGTGTTATTTGGGGGTGCTCCGGCGGGCGTGAGGTCGGCTTGACACCTAGTGGCATTGACATCTTGGGCAACCGCGCCACCAAGGAGGCTTAGGAGAATGGTTGCAAGAGAGACTCTGAACCGGGACATAGTAGGCAGGAGAAGAGGGCACGCGTTGGCACGCAGTACTGCTCTCTGCGTCGACCATTTTATAGGTTCTGCAAGCGACGATTACTGCAGTCAGCTGATCAGATATCGGGCAGCTTGGACTTGTATGGAATAGCTCCCCGCTTGTTAGGGTGCCATACTAGCAACTCAAGGTTTTGGAGCCCTGAGCCTTGAGTCTTGCGAATTTAGGGGTCAGGCTTGGACGAGAAAGCTGGCAATTGTTGAAAATACTGAATTGTATGCCGTATGCGACTTCCTGGCGGGCACGGCACGCCCCACTCACACCCCCCGCTTGCCCTTCGTGTGAGTTCGAGTATACGTGAATGTATCGTCAGCGCCCTCCTGATCATCCGCGAGGCTCGGCCGTGAGATGAATTATGATAACGATACCATCGCCAGTATTGGGATTTGGGCTCAGCCTCCGACAAACCATGACTTGGTCTAGACCCTCGCGGGCTGCATACCTATAGAAATTGCTTCAAGGTCATCCACCATGAGGTCGAAGAAAACTAATACCTGCATTCGCATGCAAGCCAAAGACGACGCTAATTAAGGCATGTGATGGCTGCCGATCAGTGATGCGAAACGCTGCACTAATTGTGGAAGCTTCCCCGCAAGCTGTCAAATATCGAACGAGCTTCCCCGCTTCCGCGAGTACCACATGACAGTCGCCAGTCATGGGACTCATTGCAGAACAACCCCTTTCTGAGTTACAGCGGACGCTTGCATCCATATGCATGTCCCGTTCGGTTCAGTGTCAAATGTGAGTTGCCCGCAACATGCGCCTGCGCCGTCCAGCATTCTGTTGCGCTATTGTGGCTGAAGCACTACTGAGATAAGTCTCTCGACAGTGAGAGCGGGAGCTCCAAACCGGCACAGTGAAAGCTGGACTGCCGGACCTCTGCATACTGGAATGTTGCGTTATACAAGGTTATGCGCTATGCCGGATTCAACTTACTCTAGCCTGTAAATGCTTAGCGCCCCACAACAGCATTATTGCCACTCTCAACATTCAAGTTCCTGCCTGACTCTTCGGATGTCAGATGCTACATCTGCAAAACTACCCGAGGGAATGAGCAGGTTATACCTGCCTCCGTTTGGAAGTGACTTGTCGTAAGACTCGCTAAGACACTTGTTGGCCAATGAGAGGGCTCGCTCAAGTGCGAAAGAGCTGTTAACAGCCGCGCCGCGTAGCTGCTTCCCAGATGTAGGTGGGATGATCATGACATGAAGTGACACGAAATGGCCACTAAAGAGACTTCACCGGTTACCTCTGAGACATATTATAGCACGCAGTGCATAGTTAACGAGAGTTTATCGACTGTCAGAAAAGATTTCGTCGAGTTCAACACGGCGGCCGTAGTATACTTGGTTGTCACTTCGTAAATCGGCGACTGTCGAGCACAACTGCTAATTTGTCAGTTGACGCCCTGCTTCACTTCTATCGCAAATAATGTTGACGTTGCGCAACGCCTTTCATACTCGCTCTCTGTCGCGGAACCTTTCTACCCTGCCGCTTCGAGACACGCCGCTACTTGGACGCCGTGCGATATCCTCCTCGTCTTGCAGATTGCAGGATGCACGTACCACGGAAGCCAAGGCAGCCTCGGAAACACGAGACATTGACACGATGGACCGGTTGTTGCGGGTTGTCAGTGAGTGTAGGCTCACTAAAAAGTAGCGATAGTCTCTAAACCCGTCAAGGGGAGCGGTCCAACCCAGCCTACCACAGGTTCGCAACTTCCCCCCCCACCCCCCCCTGAAACAGAAACAAACTTAATATTGTCCCACCGCTACGTAGTATCGTGCCCATCAGGAAGCCAGGTCTTTGGTCCGAAGCCCTCCTCAACGACGCAACAAACTTCGGTATCCACGTCCGAAATTCCACCGCCTCCGCCCTCTGAGTCGATGCCTCCCAGGTGTATGCACGACACCTACTCCCAGATCGTCCTTCCCTTTGCTTCGTCGCCAGAGTTGTTTGAGCAGTATATGAACGCGTCTGGCGGGTTGCGCACTGGTATGCTCATGGAGCACCTTGACTCGCTTGCTGGGTCAATTGCATATAAGCACATGCTCGGCCCGAGCGTGGAAACTTTGGGTCGCCTGCAAGAGAGAGGGTTTTACATTGTCACGGCTTCTGTCGAGAGGTGGGTTCATGTTTGATGGTCTGGTGCACTAATTCAAGGCGGGTAGGCTAGATATGCTTGCCTCCCTCTATCCTGTCAGGGACACTCGTCTTAGTGGTCAAGTAATATACACTGGTAAAAGTTCCATGGAAGTCGCCGTCAAAATGGAGGCGCTTAGTCCAGATGGAGGAGAGGAGACACTGATGCTTGGTGTGAACACACCTCTTTTGTCTTCTGTGCTAGACTTAACAAATCTGCGTACAGGCCGATTCTCCATGGTTTGCAGAAACGCTCGCACGCACAAGGCACATCCAGTCGTCCCGCTGATAATCAGAACTCCGGAGGAAGAAGCGCTTTATAAGATAGGTGAAAGTCAGTCTCTTGTGATACTTTTCCCGTCCGTTTTGAGTGTTCATGACACGAAAAGGCTCGAAAGATCGGAGGAAATACGCTGCCCTTCAAGCACTGTCACGTGTCCCGCCAAGCTCAGCTGAAGCAGCGGAGTTGCACACGACATATCTAAAGTGTGGCCAAGAAGACGATTCTTTGGTGCGAGGTGACAGGGTGTGGATGGGGGACACCTTGTTGGAAAAAACAATGCTAATGTTCCCCCAAGAACGCAAGTAAGTTAAGCCAAATGCATGAGCATCAGAGACAATCTGCTAATGTACCCGTAGCGTTCACCAGAAAGTGTTCGGAGGTGAGGTGTTCCTGTGCGCAATATAAGTGGCCTCATCATTCCTATTGTCTAGGATATCTCATGCGCCTCGCATATGAGGTGAGGAGTGCATCATTTTGACGGTTTCCCTAGCACAAACATTTGATGTATCCCTAGCTCGGTTTTGCAAATGCCTGCTTCTTCATGCGTTCACACGTCACTTTCCACTCGTTGGATGGGATCTCGTTCACGCAACCTGTTCCCATCGGGTCAATTCTGCGCCTACGGTCGCAAATCCTCCACACAAGCCTACCGGGGGAAATTCCAGCTACTGTGGTATGGTGACTGATGTGTGATTTTTTACCCAAGCATACTGACCATATTGTGTACGTGATAGCATGTCCGCGTCGTAGCTAGTGTGGTCAATGTGCAAACAGGGCATGAGGAAACTACGAATGATTTCCGGTTTACATGGGCCCGGGACGATGGCAAGTCGACGCCGAGAATTATCGTTCCGAAAACATACCAAGGTAATGTACTTAGTTGTTTACTGTGCTATCGCGATTGACGGTGTTGTCTTGGATGCATGCGTAGAGGCAATGTTGTGGCTGGAGGGTAAGAGAGCACTGGAGTTGGGTGCACAGATCAGGGGAAAGAGGATTCGGACACTAGAAGGCGAACAACGATCATGAACTAAGTTGGAGTTTGGCGCGGGGTACAATGTTCCTCCGCCACAGGTAACATTCATTTACTGGGTGGAGATGTGTTGAAAATGTACTAACTTCCAGCGAGAAGTAAATATGTTCAGATTGTTATTTATATGGGCTGTTAAACACAACCGTAGCTGTATGGAAGTCATAGTACGTTGAAGTCTTGGCGGGGTGCGGTTAGCAACTCCACGAAGTCCTGGCTTAGTCATGTGACGCACAACTCAAAGTTGCTCTTGTAACAGTTAAGATCTCAAGCAGGCTCTATTCCACTAGTGTCATCAAGCAAGCTAGAATGCGATTCGATCGTATTGGTGAGTTCGATTGGTTGTCCATACCTGAGTGATGCACCGCTTCCAGGCGGGACGGCGGGCTTTTGGTCCACTGCTAGTGTTGTGCGAACATCGAGAGGACGTGCTCCGATCCGGAGGACCTCTATGCAGCAGATCAATCCACATCCAGAATCAGGGGGCGTCATCGTTCCGCAGAAACGCCCGCAAGCGCAAGGCACGCCCGACCAGTGATCTGGAGGAAGGGGGCTTTACGAGGTGGGTGAACGTCAGATTACGGCCACCCATGACCGAGAGGCGCCGAATCTGTGCCGCCCTTCAAGCACTGTCTGTGGCGTGTCGCCGCGTGTCCCGGGGAGTACAACTGAGCCCGCGGACTTGCATACAAACTCAGGCACGTTCATGGTAAGGTTTCTTGATACGTGATAGGGGGATACTTTGTTGGAAAACTCTTCCCCCTAAGAGCGCAGAAAGCCTGGGAAAATAAGCACGCGCTCGCCAAGGTTTGATACGCGCTCGTAGGTTCACGCCCACATGTGTTTAGGGTTCAAGCATTCCCTTGTGGGTCCTGGCTAATGACGCTTTTCTAGTTTAGTATATCCGCACAATCATTACCTAGCAGATACACTGCGTGTCATTTTTGCAGTGCCCCAAGTGTGGATTGGACGGTCCATCAACCCCACTTTGGCTGCTGAAACCTAGGACCTCTTGCGCCCCCTGCATTTGATGCTGCTCCTTGAATACGATTTGGGTCCACGGAGTCTGTTCCTTACGAATATTATTGATGTGGCGCCTTGAATACTCACATCATGCAGGGTTGCAAGCATGGGGAGATGAACCACTGAATGACCTCCGGTTTCATACCAGGTGCGAACATCATCGCACGTATATGGAACATGTCGATATTTGGGCATCATTGCGGCCCGAGGTTGGCGTTCTCTCAGCAACACATTAACGCACAGCGGATACGAGGTTTGTTCTGTGCGTGATTTGACTCGATAGATCTACACCCAAAATGAAGTTGGTTGTATTTCTGCCCGGTGTCTCGACTGGTAGACGTCTGTTTGCAATGAGTCTCGAGCAAGGTACAACAACAGGCAACAAGGCTAGATCATACCAACCCCGAATGCTGCGGTCGAGGGCAAATTGGCGATGTGTCTGATTGAACTGTAATGTCCGAAATGCGAACACCTGAGAAATCCTCTCTCTTGCTCTGCTCGAGAGCGACTTCCAAGCTCCCCGAGGCCTAACCCAGGAGACAGGTATCCGCGGCGCGTGTAGAAAACAGCCGCAAAGAATACACAACACGGAGTACCGTAATTCGCAGCTGTAGGTTCCTGCCTTTCTGTCAGTATCTCAGTTGGCACGTCATCCCAAGGCGGATAGCCAATATTATTGTCAGATAGTCGGAGTTCGTATACAGCACTACAACACCTTCCCTGAAAAGCTGGATAGGATAAACCGGAGATTGCATGACAAAGGACGTACTTCAAACAGGAGGCGTAACTCCCCGGCTGTAGAGCTGTAGACGACAGAACGGAACTTAACATAGTACATCGCCATGTACTACGCCAAATTCTGTTCGTCGGACCCGTCTTTAGGTTTACAAAGACGAGATGCTTTGTTGTTACGCTCCAGCTACTCACAAGAGGTATCCATAGCCTGCCTGCGATATTATGGGGAGATGGATGTGGAATGTAGCTCACCCCCCTTTTGGATCCGCTGACTTGCTGGGGATTGTCATCAGTAAGTGGACGGACACACAACAGACACTGTGCTTTAGAACTTTCCAAGACCATGGATTTAGGTACTCGAAGCATATCTGGAGAGAGGGTTAATGGAGCAAACGGAGGAGTCGAACTGACCCAAGTTGCAAATGCCATGATAGGTCTTGTCATTCCAAGCAGCTTCAAGCATAGTGCGCAACTTGGGTCGACTCCTGTTCAGGCGCGGTGTTGCGTCGGCTCCGGGACCCCAAGTACCATGAATGTTTGATTTGTTCGTGACGGCGGTTTGAAGAAGGCCACCGTAGACCAAAGTAACCCAATAGTCCCGAGATTCTGAGTGCCTTAGGAGGACGAAAGGATGTTTCATGCACTCATTCACGTTGTCGTCGGGAACATTGTGGACGGAGGAGAGACATGATAGTTGGAAACTCCGAATGCTGATTTTATAATCTCCGAATCAGGCCGTACCTGCTTTGTTGTGACTGACACCCAACTGGGACATACCACAGAGGATCACGCAAGACTGTTGATGATATTATCATCAGCTTCCTATGGACATCCAAGTGTCATCCAGAACTTGCCCCTTCAGGAAATAGCACCATGAAAGTTTGTGCAGGCAACAACCCTTTTTGAATGTCACATAGTGTAGTCACATTTAGTCACAACACATGGGCAGCCTGTGCACCAAAACACCAACACTTATATAGACCCTGAGATGGGCCCACCTAAATAGATTAGCCAGTACACATGGACAGGCCTGAGGGACTAAAGTGAGAGCAACATATGTATGGGCCTGTAAGTGCATTACCACAACATATGGGAGGGCCTGTGGTGGGTAAGGATGTTGAAACATTTAGATGGGCCCATGACCAATTAAGTATACTGAGTTGCTGTAAGACATGGATGGGCCCATCCTGGTAGGTGACACCCCTGTTGCAACATCAAGGCAGGCCTGCCTATCATAACATGGAGAGGGTCACAACATAAGGATGGGCCCATCTATGATTAGAATACAAAGTTGGCAACATATGGATGGGCCTGGGAGTAATATCATTTATGGTGTCGCAACATCTGGACAGGCCTGTTCATAATAAGCTGTACCCCTGTTGCAACATAAAGACAGGCCCATCACTAGTATCATTTAATAGAGTCACAACATAAGGTTGGGCCCATCAGTAGTATTATGCAACATATGGATGGGCCTGTCCACAGTAAGATGTACCTCTGATGAGACATAAAGATGGGCCTGTCAGTAATCTCATGTATAGCATCACCACATATGGACAGGCCCTTCAGTAGTATTATTTATATTGTCACAACATATGGGCAGGCCCAGCCCCAGTAAGATGTACCCTGTCAAAACATAAAGATGGGCCTGTCACTAATATCATTTAATAGAGTCACAACATATGGACAGGCCCTTCAGTAATGTTATTTATATTGTCACAACATAAAGATGGGCCCATCAGTAATCTCATGGATAGCATCACCACATAATGTACCTACTTTGTACTGTATCATATGACCAAATGAGGTTGACAATTGGCCATGTTGCACAGACTGGCTAAAGTTGAGCCCATCTCTGAGTTGTCATTGTGTCACACAGCATAGCCATGATCATTGGATGTCACCATACTACACAGTGTGGCTGAGGGGTTACTACTATATACATCTTGCCTGGATAATCCTGGCATGGATTCTGGCAAGTTGGGAAAGGTCTGGTACTAACCTGGTCTGGGCTCACTGGCATGGGCCCAGCATGTGTCAGTGACTGCCAGTGGGTCAGAAGGCATTCCACTGTAATTCTATTGGGTTGCTATGAATGCCAGGCTAATTCCAGTAAGCTGGGACAAATGCCAGGATAATGCCAATAAGCCAGCAATCATACCAGTCTTATGCTAGTGGGCTGGCACAGATGCTAAGGTGGTGATGGTCAGTTGGCATGGATGCTGAGCTAATTCCAGTTGGCCAGTATGGATGACAGCCACCACACTATTTCCAGTGGGTTGGAAGGCATACCACTGTACATCCATTGGGCCAGTATGAGTTACAGCCACTTCTAGTATGCTGGGACACATACTGGCCTTATGCAGGTGGGCTGTGATGGGTGCCTGGATTATAGTGGGTAGTTGGAATATACAGCTAGCCAGCTTTCATGCAGGTATTAGTAAGCCAGGATCCATACCAGTATAGTGCAAATATGCCAGAATAGAGGATAAGCTGGTGGTGGTTTGTGGGCATGAATGCTCATCTAGTTCCAGGTGGGCTGGATGGATCACAGCCTCCAGGATATTTCCAGTGGTTCAGAAAGAACACTAGTGGGATTCGATTGGGCCAGTATGACTTCCTGACATTTCCAGTTAGCTGGGTCAGATCCCATGTTATTGCCAGTGAGCTTGGGATATCTACTGGGCTGAATCTAGGGGACCAGCAGGGGGCCAAGGCCAGTGACAGTTGGTTGGCATCAATTCCTAACTACCTCCAGTTGGCTGGGATGGATCACAAACTCCAGGCTATTTACAGTGGTTCAGATGGCATTCCAGTGGGATGGTATTGGGCCAGTATATATTCTGGCCAAATCCAGTCAGCTGGGTTAAATTCCCAGTTGATGACCATGACCTAGGGACACCTACAAGCCACAATATAGTGGGCCAGCACAGGTCCAGGGCTGGTGGCAGTTGTTTGGCATCAATTCTGAACCAACTCCAGTTGGCCAGGATGGATGACACCCTCTGGGCTATTTACAGTGGTTCAGAAGGCACTCCAGTGGGATTCTATTGGGTTGGTATATGTTCTGGCAAAGTCCAGTCAGCTGGGCCAAATTCCCAGTTGATGACCATAACCTGGGACACATACCAGCCTTATGATAGGGGACCTGGGACAGATGCCCAGCCTATGGTAGTTGATTGGCATGGATGCCCAGTGAAGGCCACTTAATGTTACCAGTTTAGATGATGGGCTAGTCTTTTGGCATCCCCTGGTGAATGGATGAGCCATACAAATAGTGTCCCATATATATTGGCTCAGCTGGGAAGCTATTGTCTATGGGGCTTATATATCAGTGGCCCATGCAATAAGGCATGGCTGGACCTGCAGTGTTCCATTTGGAATGGTAGGAGCATATTTCAGTAGTGCTGTGCACATTGGCCTCAGCCCAAATAGGAGTGCCCATGTACTATGGAGGGCTTATAGTCCATTGTACTGTGTCCTTAGGGAGGGCCCAGATATTATGATCCCATAGGACAGGCTGGATGAATACTCCAGTGTTTCATGGTGTATGGGAGGCCCACAATACAGTGTCCCATCTGTCTTGAATCAGCCTGTGTATTATGATCACCAATCCATGTGGTCTGGCACATATGCCATGGTCTTGTGCACAACAAGCAAGCCAATCTCCCAGTGGGCCATCTGACTGGATTTGGACTCAAGTTGAAGTGTTCTGCCAATTACAGGCCAGCCATAGTTGATATTTGGGGGAGGTATATGGAAAATAACTTGGCTCAGGATGGCATATAATATCTATAGAACTACCTTTACATGGACCCCCTATTGGATAAGTGTAGGTTATATGGAATGTCCCACCAGACCTGCAGGCATCAACCAAGTCTGGACATTCTGAACTCTCATCCAATCCCCATGGGGTATCCCTATCCAATTGTGTATGTTGTCCCTCGTGTAGTAGGCAAAGCAACATCAGTTCCCACCCACAGAACTAGCCCCATGTTGAAGAAGCCTGCCAGAAAATGCAACTACAGTGCCAGGTTTGTAAAGGAACTGAAGGCCAAGCATGGGGATATCCAATACACAATCTTCATAATCACCAACTGTGACCAGCATGTCATACCAATTGGACTGTGAGTGTGGGTCCCAGTGAAAGGGTGTGGTCAGTTAGAGATTATGGAAACATTAGTAAAAACCAATGGCCAGTGCTGCAAGGCATCATGCATATCTTGGTTATGCTGACTCAACCATGTGTCCAATGACTGCATGGCTTGCCTTCCAGTGTCATACAGGCCTGGGTGCATAATTGAAAGTGCACCAGAGAGGATGGCAGCTGGGAGGTAAGACTGCTGGGACCATTCACAACTGGCATCCATCTGTAGGTCAGCAGAAACTGATGGGGAAAAGTTCATGGTCTGGATACCACTTGAGAGACATACCCCTGAGGTAATATAGCCATACCATATGCCCCTGTTGGTGCCTGGCCAGGGAAAACTCCAGGCACCCTGGTGACCATGAAGTGTGATTGAAATATTCAGCATTTTTCCACCAGGAGCCACTTGTCATACTCTTGGACATTGCGTGGTGAAGGGGGTCCAGAGTGGCAAGCATGTGTGTCTGCAGGGATGCCTGAATAGTATAGAGTGTAAAGGAAATGTTTGAACTGACTTGCAAATCATTGGTGATGGCACTGGGAAGGTACCACAATGCAATGGTATTGCCAGTACCAAGGATTACTGTAGGTTCATCCACAAAGCCAGTGAGACTTGATGGATGTGCTGCCAGGTGGCCTGCCTCCAGGTTTCATCAACCCCCAATTCCATAGCTGAAAGGTGCTCAGAAAGCCAAATCAGATCAATGCCACTTTGCTCTGCAATACAATTTACATTTGACTTTACATTCAGCTGGGACATCAGCTTACTTCTATTATTGTATGCCACATGCATGCTGGCCACTGTCTGATTCATAGCAACAATGCTGTGTGTTGGAATGTAGAGTGGAGGATCTGGTTTGGGGGCATTTGGTCCCAGTAAGGTTTGACTGGAAAATTCCTGGTGCATATAGTGTGTAATATCCTGGGTGGCACTGTGATTTATTGCCATTAAGAATGGAAGATGATATAGTGAGCATGGTGTTGATGATGGGTTATCTGGTAGCTGTAGTGTGTAGTATGGAACTGTGGCTATGTATGCTGGTGTTTTCCAGACCATAGTGAAGCTGCCATGGTTACACAGCATTGGTAAATGACCATTCTGGCCTTTGAAAACAGGTGCCACCATGGTGGCATAGTACCTCTGGCTTCCACATATTATTCCAGCATGGTATGGGTACCAAGATAGAGGCAATAGATGGCAAGTTCTGCTATGGCTCCAGTGCTAGCTACACTTCCTACCACACCAGTTCCAATTTGTGGTGTTCATGTTCCTTTATACACCATGCCAAAGCATTAGATGATGGACTGGGGCCTTTCAACCTAATTTTGTACTCCACAGCCATTGAGAAAACACAATGCAGCCTTTTCTAGTACAGGTCTGACAGTGCCAGTAATGCATGGATACAATGTTCTGCTACGGGTCTGGCACTAGCTACACTTCCTACCACACTGGTCATATTTCAGCATGTGGACCTTTCATTATACACTGTCCACAAGCATTGGATGATAGCCTGGGGCCTTTCCAACTAATTGCCTATTCCACAGCCATTTAGAAAATGTAATGCTGCCTTTCCCAGTACTGGTCTGGTGGTGCCAGTAATGCATAGACACACTATGGGATCAACATCGGTCTTGTTCAGATTGATATCCAGCCACTTGGCCCATGATAACTGCTGTGCCAGGATAGGCCACTTGCTATTCTGGCCTCCTGGGATGTGATTATTGATGATCTCTTATCTTGCAGTCATCACATGTGTCAGCCACATTGCTATGTAATAACATTTGCATCCGATCCAACTCTACTCCAAATCACCATGGATGTCAGGACTGCTAATCTATCCTACCTCTCCATGATAATCCAATACATAGGTGTCTGATTTAGATGGTTCACATATGCTTTGCAGCAGGCCAACAACCCAAGCAATTGACTGCCAGATGACTGGTATCAGCAGGTTCAGGTGGAAACAGTGAGTTTGTTGAAATGGATGCTGGTTTGCTGTGTCATGCACTTTTCCACAGCATATATTGAAGCAGGCCCTGGCTACCTGCAACTCATATGGGACAATCATGAAGGTTCCATATGTTGCCAATGAACTGCTTTGGTAGATGGCCATACAAAATATGGGAGAGACTGCCCTGCTGGCACACATCATGGAGTTGAATGTGTTGCAGGTCAAAAGAGGAGAGGTGAGATGTATGATCCACACTGGTCCTATGCCACATACCTGGTGGACAAGGGACCCTACCCATCTGGATGGGTATGATCATTGGTCATTGGAGGAAGTTGTGCAGGAGGCCAAGGAATTCTTTGTTGGGGTTGAGGTGTGCAGTGGTCATCTTTCAATCATTCCATTGAATCCATCCATGCCATAGGAAGGAAAAGACAGTCTCCCACTGCTGTGTGAGATGGACCAGATGCCATCAGACAGCATTGGCCAGTTGATTGAAAGCTGTGATGAGATGATCCATCAGGAGGAGGAGGAGATTCACCAGCTCCATGGTGTGGTGGAATTCTGCAGTGAACAGCTCACCCTTTTTGACAGGCTTGGACAAGTACAGGACCAGCTTGAGGACTTCTGAGTCAATTCAGTTACCCAGTTGGGAGCCACCAATAAGTAGGGTGCTGTCCTCATTACACATCTCATTAGAACCTTGATATGTAATTTCCCCAGTTTCATACTATCTAGAGATATATGCACATTACTCTTCCAATTCATATCTTGAAGTACATCCTAGTGTTCTGGCTAAATCCTGATACATCTGGGACTGCCTAGCTGTATAACATGTGAAGCCAGTATTGCCCACTGCCAATGCCTCCATATGCCAGCCACTCCAGAATTTCTCCTTGTGTAAGAAGAATTTCTGTGTCCACCCAGTCTCCAGTGTGAGTAACTCTAGCTCTTCTTCCCAGTGATCCTGTAGTGCTTTTGTACACAGCCAGTTGACTTGATAAACTGTGATAATTCAGTCAGTATATCACACAAGCCCAATTGATCTGCCTACATTCTGACATCCTGTCATTCTTGGCAGAATCCCAGGGAAGGTCCATGGTCCAAAACCAGGCCAGAGTGTTGTTGCAATGACCTCTTGCATTTGGGTCTGCAATTGTGGCACTCACAGTCAGGTCTGCCCTATTCAATTCTTGGTATTTGCCAAGAATGTCCTCCCCAGCCCCCAGTGCAATGAGTTGCTTTCAGCACTGGCAATAGATGGCAGCATGCTGCTGAACCATTGTCTCTGCATTGGATATCCACCCCCATGCACAGGTTGTCATTTTGTAGTTCCCTCCTTTCCAGACATCTGTACAAAATATCATGGCCTTGTCCATGAGGGCCAGACACAATTCATGCAATGCATCATTTGCCTGGCCCTGTCTCAGATGTATTTCCTGTTCCACAAGACTGCTGAGGCCAATGTCATGGAAATACTGTACTCTGATATATGATGGCAGTGGAACATCGCTGACCTCCTGGTGACCAGGACAATCAGGGAGGAATGGATCATCAGTTTCATCATTACTGTCCCCATCAAATGGGGCTATACTTCTGGTCCTTTGCCTGGGGTTAACTTGCCAGTCATTTCCGATGAACTGGGCTGCTCTATGTACTAGTGCATCAATCTGTGATTGCAACTGGTCTTGCTGGCGCAAAATCGACAACCAGTCTGCCTCTGTTTCCCTGGTGTCCATCTGTTGTGTATCCATAGCAAGCACTATTTGAGCCTGCTCAACCTTTAATGCCCATGCAATCCAAGTAGCTGAACCATGTGAGCTGCTGAATGAATGGTTGTTATGGATTAGGTCAATCTCAATGGCTTTCATGGTGGGTGCTACCATGATGTATGTAAGTTATGGGACAGATGATACAGTTGGCCCCCTTACCCTTCTCCAGCCAGACTTCATATATGTCCATGGCCTGTGGAGTATTCTGCCAGCATGACTGCACCACAAGTTCTTGTTCCACCCATAACTGATGCAAGCCATCCAGTACCTTGCTATCCAACTCGTTGAATTTATCTTGGATTGTTGCTAATGACTGCTTGGAAACCTTGAACTTCTGTTTCAATGCCCATGCTATGTGCAAGTAATCAGGCAATGGTCAACCAGGTACTGTGATGACATATGCATCCATATCATTTTGAGGAAGTTACTATCATTCATTTGGAAGTCCAGCAACTCCTGATGGTGTGCTGTCACCATTCCCCAGGCTGATGGTGAGATTATGTTGAGAGAAGACCAGAGGGTCTCCATGATTTCACCATCCACCCAGCCAGCACCTGGAATAAAGTTTGGAGCATATCTGGTGAAGCACTCTGTCTGATGGCCATGGACATGCCATAGTCCAATGCTGGGCTGAATCTGTAATCCAGAAGGCAGAGAGAGATATCTATTTTCCTCAAGCCAGCAGGCCAAGTTCTTGCTATACTGACAATTGATGTCATAAAAGGTTATGACCGGTTGCCAGGGGTCCAATCCATGGTGCACAGCATGGACCAGAGCATAATCCATATTGACCTGCCTGCTATATTGTTAGTCATGACCAGGGACTATGAATTGGTGCATACTGCTCTCCCTTCTGAAAGTTGACCACTGCATGAGGTACAAAATAGCCATGCCTCACACAGGCACATCCACCAATCCCAGTCAATTCCTTATTCCTTTGTGCATTTGCTTGATTAACAGCCCAGTGGTTATTGCAGTCAGATTTCTGCATGACTCAATCAGTCTGGTGCCTTTGGAGAGATCATGGTGCACCAACTTCTATTCAATTTATGGTCCTGGTCAAATATTCCTTGTATGGAGCTGATGTGACCATGAAGCCATTTCCATCCATGAGCCAGACCTCTTTGGCAGCATTCTTGAGCAGCATATGCTCAGCCTTGAAGTTGCTGTCCATCACAAAGGTCCTAGCAAACCACCAGCTACACAAGTCAGGCTAACAATGCCTTTGCAATAATGAATAGAATATGGACTCAGAGAGATCAATATCCTGATCTGGTACATTGATCCCTGGCTGGGGACAGGCAGGGCAGAAGAGGACAAGTTCACCGGCCTGGGGATCAGGCAACTGTTGGTGGAATCCCTGCCATTTCAACAGCTTTAGGAGCCTCCACATTCTCAATGCCCTGAGCAATTCCCTATACCTATTCTTTGACCAGCATGAGTGATGTGGCATATGGTAGGCCAGGGGTGATCGCACTCACTGGCACTAGGTGAGGAAACACACTTGAGGTGACTCTCTGAAGTTTTCTATAATAGTTCATGGCAGAGGTTCCACATTCAACATTGTCCCTGGAAAGTGAAAGCCATCCTTGGTGCCTTAGTCATAGCCGGGAATAGGCCAGCCATGGTAAGCTGAAGATGTGAATCCTCAGACCCAGGGCAGTTGCAATACTGCACATTGCAAAAGTGCATGCTGCCAGTGTCCACAACTGTCAGATAGTTTCTATCATCTGGTGGGTTGAGATGTGCCAGTCATTGACTCTCCTCAATGTCCTCCCACTCTTCATCTACATGGCTGGCAGCATCCTCCCAAGAACCTTCTCCTGCCAGGCATGGTGCTCTGGCATGGCCCAAGTGTAGCACCAAACCAACCTATGATATCAGTCATCACAGATGATAGGTTGAAGCCAGAACTCATGAGCTGTAGAGTGAAGTCTTCAAAGAATCTTCCATTCCATTTTTGTACCCAATGGAACAGTCTGAGTTTGTGTTGCTCAATGCAACATGTTTTACAAGACAATGGGTGATGAGCACAGTCCATGCATCTATATGGTGCCCCTTCTGCTTTACACACAAAACAAGCCATGATGTTGGGCAGGGCCTCCATGTCCAGGAGCACAGACAGGTATCTACTCTTATAGGGCAGCCACTCTTCCAGATAACTGTTCTGTAATACCACAAGGCACACATTGCCAACACCAGGATGTTTGATAATGCACACCTGGCTTTTTGGGATTCTTGATGTCCTTGGTGGTGATGCATCATCCATGTAGCAATATAGGTCAGCATCATTACCCTGGACTAAATTGGGTTCCTGGATGCTCAAAGATCCTGCCCTAGTAGGTGATTCATTGCTATGGCCAGTTGCATATCTTGCCTTCTTTCTCAGAGTAAGCATGACCATCTTTTCTTTGGATCCCCTGGTTGTTTTCACCTTTTTCCAAGTGAAATGGGTTACTGGGGTGGCCACTGCAGCTCAGGTGATTTGTGACTTGCCCATGTCTAGTATCAAGTCCTTGCAGGATGTCTGCAGGCCTCAACCATACATGCCTCATTGTGATGCCTGGCACAACTATGATTTGAGTTGGATCTCATAATCAATGTCAGAAGATCCAATCAGGATCAAACTATACTTTATCTATATATAGTAGCAGACTGGATGATAGATGAATTGGCTTACCATGTTTGGCCATGGTACTGATTGACTGGAACAAGACCATACTAACAACGGGTATGTATCATGACCAGAACATTACTCGGCCCTTGGAACTTTATTCAAGAATGGGTGACAGAAACTATGAGGAATGGACTCCAAATTTTCTTTCAACAGAGGGTAACATTACCTGCAACTAACCAACCCCAACACCTTCTCCAACATTCAGAATGGCTAGTAGCAATCACAGTACTAATTGTGTTAATACCTCAGATGAGGAGGAATTTTCCTCCAATGAGGAATCTAGCTCAGATAGCACAGAGACAACAAAATCTGCACTGGGAAATCTGAGACTGGATGAACTTCAAATCCTCCAAGATGGTCTAAATGATTGGAAGGAAGCTGACACAAACAAAAGGGCCTCACTGATGGTGGGCATGTGGAACAAAATCAAATGGCTGGATGCCAACAAGAGCTGCAAACAAAATGAATGGAATAGAAAACAGACAGTAAGCTTGACAGTTTTGATGTGCTTGCAGTCATGTGAAGTATATTTTACAGGCCATCAAGAACTGGATGTATAACAACAGTCGGTCCCATGCATGGAAGACTCTGGTCAAGTATGGCTCTAAATGGATGGCCCTAAAGGTGATTAAGCTGCAGTGTAAGAAGGATATCTAGCAAGTACTTGTGAAGGCTGGAATACATCCCAGGACATCAGCTATGATCAAACACTATCAGCCAGCCATTCAGAAGGTAGTCCAGTCATTGACCAAGGCTGAATTGGACCAGGCAGCCTGTTTGGTGAAAGAGTGGAATGAGAGAAAGCCGCCACCCAAAGCCCAGGCAGAGTAAGCATCCAAGTTCTCCCATGGGCAATACTAACTTAAATGCAGGGCAGCAACAAGAAAGGGCCAGAAGTATGCAAAACAGTCTGCATAAGACATGTGGAAGCAGTGTGGGATGTTATGCCCGAGCGCGGTGACTTCTTCAAATGGAATAGGCACGAAGCGCGCGAGGTGGGAGTCTATGGGCCGAACTTGTCGTAACCCCTATGGCTGAGTTATCGTGAGAATCTGACAGAGGTTCCTTCTGCTGGCGAGTCCCTAAGGTTGTTTGCACGGAGAGAGAACAAGGATTAAAGCGAAGTAATTAGCTCAGTTGCAAGCTATCGAAAAGCTGAGGATACATGGTAAAGTACGTGGGTTTAAATACCCCTAAGTACGAGTACCCTACCAGTCGCTAGGAGCGCATCGCGACGCGTATCCGCAGCAGTCAACAAACTAACCTTTGAAATAAATAAGAGTCATACGGTGTCAGTGATGGGGGTAGAGAAGGGAACGAAGGCTATACCGGCGGCGCAATCAATGCACAGCTGGGAGCCGGACACCGGAGCTATAATACAACATCAAGGCAATATAAACAAGTCATAGGGATAGAGAGAGGAACACGATCAGGACATCTCCACAGGCACGAGAGTGGTGAACGTCACGGATCATAAATGATGAGTCTCGACAGGTATTGGAAATACCTGGACAGCAGATGATCCGAACGTACCCCGCAGCATCCGAACTCCTAGGACTACGACCACGACCAACGACGCGACAAGGCACATGATGCACGTGACTGCGATTACTCAAAAAAGGAAAGACCTGTGGCAGGGGCGTAACATCACCCCCCCGCTAAGGTCCTCAGCCCCTTGAGGACGGCCCAGAAGGCGCGTTCGCAGGACGGGCGGATAGGGGTCGGCGAGTAGTATAGACGCGGGAACGTGTTCGGCCGGCGATGGGCGACGATGGCGATGGAGACGATGGTTCCTCGAGGGCCGGAGTAAAGCGGGAGCCACGTCCATTGCGACAGGACCAATGTCCCAGGTAACGACACTGGAAACAGGCGTGTTGATATAAGGGGTGCTCGGGGGGTACCGGTGACTGTCCTCCCAAGTAGTAGCGAAGTTGATCTGTAGGGACGGGGACAAAGGGAGTCGCAGGGAGAGGGTCGGCGGAGTGGACGGCATTATGATAATGTTTGTGTATCCCAGCCCATGACGCGTCCTGCAGAAGCACCTCCCAAGCGGAGTCGTGAGTTCCCGTTCCTAGTCGAGCACCAACCTCTTTAAAAAGATCCCCGGAGTTAACAAACCCTAGTTCTATCGCGTGCCACTGCTTTTCCTTCTCCTGATCCATTACGTCGTTCTTTAGCTTCTTTTCCTCCGGAACGGCTTCTTTCGGGATAATCCGGTCAAGGATCTGAGAAGCAGGCAGGGCGAGGAACTCATTAATTTGTTGTTGTCGCAAATGGTGATAGGCCCCTCCTGTAATAGCTTCGGTAATCTCCGAAGAGGCCTTCTCGAGCATCTCGATCATGATGACCTCCGACAGCGGGGCGGCTCCGGTAAGCTTTCTTGTCCGTATCTTGGAGATGATTCCGTTGATTACATCTGATGCTCGGTAGATCTCAGACAACATCCCAAAATACTTAGCTTGTTCTGGTGTGCACCCGTTAATGCCGTCCCTGTCGTTGAAGATGTCAAGTGCCCGCACAATGTCCAAGTACTCAGCCGCTGGGACTGGTAGTCTTTGCTGGTCTGACCCAGCAAGGGCGGCGACTGAGGCGAGGACGTCGAGCGCTGCGCGATCACCTCGGTTGGCATAGGTAGAGAAGGCGCTGCGAACGTTGGAAGATTTGGGAGCATGGGCGGGACCGGCAGAGGCTGAGTTACTATCGGAGTCATCGTCAACCTGCACTTTACCCTTTCCCTTTCGGCTACTGTCCTCACTTGGGAGGACTCTGACCTTGGGGGCGGGGACGCGTTTGATCGTGATTCCCGCGTGTGGACGCGGTCGGAGAGAGCAGGAGAGAGCGGGGGATGTCGAGCGAGGTTGTGAGACCAGCGAGGAGAATCCGGGATACATAAAAGCCGGCGGGGGACGTTGGAGGCGAGGTTGGGGCATAAGCAGAGATGGGTGGGAGGAAGTCGTCGGTGTCATGAAGGGATTCTGGGTCGTAGGGAAGGTCGGCATAGTCATTTTCCGTGTTAACTGAGCGGGGTGAATCCATTTAATTTCTGAGGTGATGAGCAAGTTTGTATTGGTCGAGGGCTTCTCCAGCGTGTTCTTTTATGTGTTCTTCGGGTTCCCACGTATTGGACGAATGAGGGAACCCTTTCCACTTGACCAAATATTTCCTTTTTCCACGTCGACCATCGGTTTTGTGATTTACGATGGACTCTACCTCCCACTCAATTTCATCATCTACTAACTTGGGTAAAGGAGCTGCAGGCGCAGTCCCATATACCTCGTTTTCGATGAACGGAAAGATCCGAGACCCGTGAAAGACCGGGTGTACCTTCCACATTTCAGGGAGGTCCAATCGGAAGGCGACAGGGGAAACGACCTGAGTCACCAGAAAGGGGCCGAGACGTCGGGGGGCGATTTTATCGCACTGGTTTTTGATGCGCAGGTGACTGGTATCCAGGAGAACGCGATCTCCTACCTGGGGCGCAACATAAGTCCCTTTTGAGTGGGACTTCATCAGTTCCTGTGCTTTCTTATGAGCCAGGATCGTGACATCTCGGCTGGCGGCAAGTCGTTCCAGCCTTTCATCGACTGAGGGGACCGGGGTAAGTCGTGTTTCAGGGTAGGGGGAGGGATCATAGCCAAGCAGGAGGGAAAACGGAGTCATTTGATGCACTGAGTGGATCCGCGAGTTGTGGGCGAATTCTGTGGAAGGTAGTTTACTGCTCCAGGAATTAGGGAATTCCGAGCAATACAACCGTAGGTACCCTTCCACCTCCTGGTTGACGCGTTCACTTTCTCCGTTTGTTTGGGGGTGGTAACCCGTAGACAGCTTGGTTTTGATTCCTACGGCCTTGTAAAGTTCCTGGGTAAACGAAGAGGCAAACTGTGGTCCGTGATCGGAGATCACCGATTCCGGGATTCCAAATCGGGCATAAATGAAACGGTGAAACAGTTTTGCCAAACCTTCGGAGTCTATTGTCTTGTGGCAGGGAACAAACAGGGCGGCTTTGGACAGCCCCTGATCTACGACCGTAAGGATAGAATCAAACCTTTCATCTCCCGATACCGGGAGGTCCGTGATGAAATCCATCGAGATTTGCTGAAACGGGAGCACCGTTTTAGCGGTCTCATGGGGAATTACTGGGGGATTGGGGGGATGCGTGATAACCTTGCTTCCTTGGCACTTTGGGCATCCTGCGACGTACTTCTTTATGTCCCTTCCCATACCATCCCACCATACCTCTTTTCTCATTCTAGCGAACATGGCTTTTTGTCCCAGGTGTCCTGAGGACTCGTGGTCATGGTAGGTTTGCATGCAATGCTGGCGGTGTTCAGGGGGAATGTAAAGTCGCGTAGTGCCGAAGCGTTGGGTTCCATCGGAGGCGGTTGTTACTTTGCTCGTGGGGACCGGGTCTTTGTTTTTCCTTTTTTGTGAGTCTTCTTTAATTTGATCGTACAGTTCGCTCGACACCGCTAATACACCCCTGGTTCCTTTGATGGATTCCTCACGTGGGCGAACCTGAGGGGGCCTTCTCTCCTTTGTTGCTTCCTCAATTGGGCGAGAGTAAGGCTTTTCGTTGGCTTTTGAGCGTGTTATGCGAGCTGGTAGTCGTGATATTCGAATCATCCGGTTAATCTTTTGTTGTTTTATTATTTTTGTTAAGGAAAAGGTAGGGGAAACGAGTCGAATTTGAGGAGTGTCCACCCCCGTCGAAAGCCAAAGGTCCGGCAGGAGGACTGTGGCCACAGGGGTGGGTTCGGCAGACTCGTTCTTGCGGGAAAGGGTATCCGCGGGTACCTGCAAGTGACCGGCTTGCCACGAAAAGCGGATTGGGTATGACTGAACCGTAGCAGCCCACCTAGCTTGGCAAGGGGTAAGCTGCTGTGGCTCACGATAATATTCCAAGTTTGTATGGTCAGTGAAGACCACAGTTGGTTCGACAGGGGACAATAAGTAAGGGCGGAAAGCCTTCAAAGCTTGGATGACGGCTAACATCTCCAAGTCATAGACTTGGTAGCGCTGTTCGGCTCCTACAAGAGACTGTGAGAGGTACGAACACGGGTGCCACTCATCATCTGAACCCTTCTGGGCGAGAACCGCACCAGTCCCGAGTTTGGAAGTGTCGGTGAATAGGGCAAACGGTTTGGAGAAGTCCGGAATAGTGAGAACTGGCGCGGAGCATAACAAAGTTTTCAACCGCTCGAAAGTGGCATTATGCTCCGGAGTCCAAACGTAGGAAGTCCCTTTTTTCGTTAGGTCGTGGAGAGGACGAGCGATGCTTGAGAAAGATGGGATGAATTTGCGATAGAAATTACAGAATCCCAGGAAGCGGCGAAGTCCCGTAAGGTTGTCAGGGGCTTCCCAGGTATGGATCGCATTAGTCTTCGTCGGCGAAGTCTCCAAGCGACCCTTCCCTATTATCATTCCCAGAAATTCTATTTCTTCGGCCTCGAAGACGCATTTGCTAATCTTGAGGTGAAGGCCTTCTTTTTGGCAAATTGCCAAAAACTCTCATACACGTGTACGGAGTTCTTCGTGAGTCTTTCTGTGAATTGCTACGTCATCCATATATCCGACCTGCTTCCCTCGTTGACTTTCAAAGGTCTTGTCCATATATCTTTGAAAGGAAGGGGGTGAGTTGCACTGCCCAAAAAACATTACCGTGGGCTCGAAAAGCCCTCTTGGCATAATGAAGGCTCCCTTCCATTCGTCACCTTCCTTAACCCGAAGGTTTGTGAACCCCCATCGAATGTCGAACTTGGCATAATATTTTGACTCCATGAGCTCGTCGAAAAGTGCTTGCGCGTTTGGTAACGGGTGCGCGTCTTGAATAGTAAAGGAGTTAAGATAACGGTAATCCTGAATTAACCGTTTCTTTCCATCCTTCTTTGCCACGAAGAATACTGGCGCAGCTTGCGGTGAGGTGGAGGGTCGAATTTTTCTGCATTTTAAGTTTTCTTCAAGGAATTCGTCTAGTACCTTGAGTTCATCAGGAGACATGGGGTACACCGAGGCTTTCTTTGGCTTGAAGTCGTCCCGAAGATGGATTTCATGGTCAAGTCCGGGGCGGTGTTCCGGTAACGGTATGTCTTCTTCAGAAAATACCTGGGCGAATTCTTGATACTCCTTCGGAAGTAGAACTTCCTCCTTGGTCGAGGATAAGGCGGCCTCGAGTTCTGTAGATAGGGTTGTTTTGTTAACCATACTTACCGGCGGTTCCTTTATAGAACCATCTTCGTTGAATTTTACGGCATATCCTTTGTACGAAGGGATCTGACTGTGAACATAAATGTCAGTTTCCTTACTCGGTACAAACCCGTCATCCCAACAAGAAATCTTGTTGTTTCCCCAATCTATTCTTGGTTTGTAGATCCGAAGGAACGGCATCCCTAAAAGGATATGTTCTTTTCCTACGAGCGGTCCGACGTAGCACTTGACCCGAACTATACGGTTCTTGATGAACACCCGGAGGGTGACCTTTCTTGTGATCCATTCTACGTCCTTGCCCATAAATGAAGTGGTCTTGAACTTGCTTTTGACCCGATAGGTAGGTATCTTCAATTTTTGAACCATTCACTCCGAAATGAGCGAAACCTCTGCACCCGAGTCGATGCAGACCATTACTCCTGCCTTGTAGTCTGGTAGGTATACCATCCCCAAAGGTGAACCAATTCGCATTGTCGATTCGTCGTCTATGGTGGTAATACAAACAGCGGATAACATAGAGGCGGGACCTACGTGAGGAGTTTCTGTGGTCCCAATCAAAAACCCTTCCCTTCCAAACCATATGCCTTTAACTCGTCAGCCGTTGCTAGACGGTCTCCCACGTAAGCAACCCTCTTCCCGTCGTCAGAAAGAACGATTCGAACGCCAGGATGGCTCTTGGTCTTCTGGGACTGACAGTCACACTTATAGTGGCCTTTCCTGCCACATTCGAAGCAGGTAACATCATCGTTTGATTGGTGTACATTTCGCCTTCGTTTATCGACATCCATCGCATCAGGATCTCGGGAGTTCCCATGGTAATGAATAAATTTGCGTTCATACCGGGATTCCTTGCCTTCTAGAATGTGCCTGGTGGCGATTGCGGTTCTTGCTTCTCCTGCGCATTGTATCCACTCGATGACCGTGGTAGGGGCGCGTCCAGAATTCAAGATCCAATCGCGGTATTCCTTATTAAGGCCTTTCCCGAAGAAGATCCCTGCTTCTCGTGATTCTTCTTTAAGCTGGGCTTTATTAACAAGTCCTGTGAACTCGGCAATGTACGCTTCAAGTTCCCTTTTGCCTTGGGAGATATCTGAGAGCCGAAGTATCGCGAGGGCGGTTTGATCCCCAGATTCGAAAGTAGCTTTTAACCTCTCAACGAACCTTTGGAAGGTATCGGTATACCAAATGGTACCGTCGAGTAGTTTGTTTTCGTTCTGGTAGTTCTCAGCAAACGTTACGGCAGCTCCCTTCGTCATATACATAAGGGCAAAGGAGATCTTGAGCGACTCCGTGTTGTAGACATGTTTGTTAAGGTTCAAATAACCTTCGACTTGTGTGACCCAGGTTTGAAGCCCGTTGTGGCTTCCGTCATATTCACCGGGACGCCCGACGTTAAACTCCCGACCTCCATTGGGTGGGCGGACATCATACAAACCATCGCCATCGTCGGCCGAGGCCTTACCCTTACTGGACCCACCAACGGGGCCCTCTGGGGGAATTACCTTTCCGAAATTTCTGGTGTACCATGCTCGTAAGGCCGAGTCTGTAGGCGTACCTGTTGGGAAGGGATCAATCGACTGTCCCTGACCAGCTATCTTGCGCCAGTCAGCGGCCAAAGAATGCATCCGTTCATCCAACTTCTCCTTCAGCTCCTCTTCGGAGTATACCTTCGGTGGCATCTCAGGGACTGATTCTCTGTGACCAATCGTCATGGACATTACGGGTGATTTGCGTGCTTCTTGTTCTTCCTTGAGGACTGATCCGAAAGAAGTCTCGGACTTCTGATCGTCTTCTTCTTCTGAACTAAGCGCGACTTCCGATTCCCTAAAACGGGATAGATATGATAACCTTGGATTACTTGCTGTGGCTGACGGCCCAAGTCTTCCTAGCGGGATTGGCGGTAAAGGCGGGTTCCTACCAAGTCCTTGTGGTAATCGTGGTGGAACTGGTGGTCTCGACTTTTGTGGATTGGACACTTTGACGGATAGTGACAACGAAGGCTGAGGGAGGATTTATTTCTCGAAAGAAACCTGTCAGCGAAAAAGGGTGTGTGCGCGAGTGATTTTACATGTAGGGAACCACAAGCGCGAACTCCAGGGAGGCGATCTATTAAAGCCTAGTGGCTGCCTGTAGAGCGGTGGATTTGGTTTAGGGTGGCGGGGTGTTTCTCGGCTAGTTTGACAAGAGTGACTTGGTTTGTTGAAGTTCAGTAACCAGGGACGAGTAGACTTTCACGAAAAGGTCGACAAGTCCCAAAAACTGCGTGGAGCTTTTCGATTTTGTTATGCCTGAGCGCGGTGACTTCTTCAAATGGAATAGGCACGAAGCGCGCGAGGTGGGAGTCTACGGGCCGAACTTGTCGTAACCCCTATGGCTGAGTTATCGCGAGAATCCGACAGAGGTTCCTTCTGCTGGCAAGTCCCTAAGGTTGTTCATGCGGAGAGAGAACAAGGATTAAAGCGAAGTAATTAGCTCAGTTGCAAGCTATCGAAAAGCTGAGGATACATGGTAAAGTACGTGGGTTTAAATACCCCTAAGTACGAGTACCCTACCAGTCGCTAGGAGCGCGTCGCGACGTGTATCCGCAGCAGTCAACAAACTAACCTTTGAAATAAATAAGAGTCATACGGTGTCAGTGATGGGGGTAGAGAAGGGAACGAAGGCTATACCGGCGGCACAATCAATGCGCAGCTGGGAGCCGGACACTGGAGCTATAATACAACATCAAGGCAATATAAATGAGTCATAGGGATAGAGAGAGGAACACGATCAGGACATCTCCACAGGCACGAGAGCGGTGAACGTCACGGATCATAAATGATGAGTCTCGACAGGTATTGGAAATACCTGGACAGCAGATGATCCGAACGTACCCCGCAGCATCCGAACTCCTAGGACTACGACCACGACCAACGACGCGACAAGGCACATGATGCACGTGACTGCGATTACTCGAAAAAGGAAAGACCCGTGGCAGGGGCGTAACATGGGATGAGAGTGGTGATCATGTCGGCATGGAAGGATAAGGAAGGCGAAGTGATGGTTGGAGTGTGAGTGCTTTCCTGACAGGCTTCACCATATCTGACCAGTGTAGGAATGACTTCAATGACAAGCTGGGCAATGGAGAGCTCTATTCAGATTGGGAAGACCTTCATGGAAAGTGGTCAGCCTATGCAAAGAAGGCCTTTGGGGCCAATGGTATGGAGGATGGCAGTGGAGAGGATGAGGCTGGTCAAACCACAGTAAAAGCACAGAAAGGAAAAAAGCAGTCTCAATTCTCCCTGTCCACCAATGATGATGGCACACCCATTCTTCCAAATCTCTTGGACTTATGGACACTGGAATTAAAGGACATCATGAGGGTGTTTGTAACTGGCCATTATTGTATGTGCCAATTCCCATGGTTGATGAGTTACTAACATCTAAACCCAGGCTTGGCTTGTGGGAAGACAAATGCCAGTGTACCTTGGGCTGCAATAGCTGACAACCAGGCATCCTATGTGTCTTCCAAGTATCTTCCTCCCAATATCCTGTTCAAAGAGCCCACCAGGCTGACATATCATGAACTAATCAAAACCTTGGAGTTCTGGAAGGAGTGACAGCAGGAGCACCCAGAAGATGTCTTCCAGTTCCGAAGGTGGAGATCTCAGGATGGTTCCCTGGAGGAGCTGGTCACCAAACACCAACACTGGTCAGACAAAGCCAAAGGGAAGAGACCCTGGACAGAAGGTGAGGTCATGATCAATTTGGATATACATAACTGATCGCACATTAAGTAAATTCCATTGATGGCTCCAACTATGGACATCACTCAGAGGAGGAACCAGCTCCTCCCACAAAACCTTCCACCAAATGGCAATGGATAGATGGTATGTTGGAGCTGGTCAGATTCTTTACTGGTAACCCTAACATGACCTTGGAATTGTGTGCCACAGATCATCCCACTGGAATATCCAATGCACAGGAGGACAACAGACAATGGAACCAGTCCACATCAGACTGGTGCAATACAGCTACTGCATACCCCAAGCCAGCTTGTAAGTGGTATCTGGTGACAATGAATATTTCTGATAGAATTGTATCAGATAATCATGCCAATGATGGTGGTGATTCAACTGCAAGGAAGCCCAAGCCCAAGCCAAGAATCAGATCCAATGGTTGGTTTCCATGCACACTTGGTTAATCCTCTCATTACAGCATTCTACAGCAGCCCAGAATGATAAGACAGTCATATCACCTAATGATCGTAGGTATACATCCATAACACAATTACACACACTTATCTATGTCAGGAGTTGATCCAGTGGGTAGGAATTCAAATGCCAGGCCTAGATGCTGTGCAATGGACAGGGAAGATGGACTGTTGGATGAAGCAGAAGAGGATGGTGTGGCTTGTCACCCAGAGCAGAATTGTAGGCCCCCACAGCAGCCAGATGATAATTATCCTACTCCAACCATGAGGAGGCAAAGGTAGAATTGAGGCTGGTACCTACTGTTTTCCAGTAGACTGGCAACAACCATATATAGTGCACAGTGCAAGAATTGCCAGTGAATTACTGGCCCCATAGCTACCATGTACTGTAACCCACTGTCATAATCCAATTGCAGCCAATTTGTGCACTTCTCCAATTTGTTACGCTGGCTTTCCACTGTTTCCTTTTTCGACGTCTTTGCGGTCACGTGCGTCATGTGCCTCGTCGCGTCGTTGATCGTCGTGGTGGTTCTAGGGGTGCAGATGCTGAACGAGTGACTCGGATCACCCGCTGTCCAGGTATTACCAATACCTGGTGAGACTCATCAATTGTGATCCGGTCCGCGACGTTCGCCGCTCTCGTGATGGTAGAGATGTTCCCTTCTTACTCCGCTGACTCCTGTTGACTCGTATATATTACTCGTATGTTGTACTATAGCTCCGGAGTCAGGCTCCTCGCTGCGTATTGATTGCGCAGCCGGTATAGCCTTCGTTTCCTTGTCCACCCTTATCTTTGACTCCGGATGACTCATATTTATTTCAGTGATTAGTTTGTTGATTACTGCGGATATGCGTCGCGACGCGTCTGTCGCGACTGGTAGGGTACTCGTACTTAGGGGTATATAAGCCCACGTACTTTACCTTGTATCCTCAGTTTTTCGATAGCTTGCAACTGAGCTCATTCCTCTGTTCTTTTCCTTGTTCTCTCTCCGTGCGAACAACCTTCGGGACTCGCCAGGCCAGGGGGAACCTCTGTCGGAAACTAACGGTAGCTCAGCCATAGGGGTTACGACTAGTTCGGCCCGTAGACTCCCACCTCGCGCGCTTCGTGCCTATTCCATTTGAAGAAGTCACCGCGCTCGGGCATAACAAAATCGAAGAACTCTACGCAGCTTTCGGGACTCGTCGACCTCTTCGCGAAAGTCTACTCGTCCCTCGGTTACTGAACTTCAACAAACCAAACCTCGTTTCATCCACAAGGCTCGTCGGTCTCCCTACACGTAAAGACTAACTCGCCTTGCGCCCCGCCTTTCGGTTCAACTCTTAACAAAATTGATAACACCGCCGAAAAGCACCCCGCCACCCTAAACCAAATCCATCGCTCTACAGGCAGCCATTAGGCTTTAATAGATCGCCTCCCTAGAGCTCTCTACTACGCGCCCGCTACTCCCTACGTGTAAAGTCGCTCGCGCACGAACCTTCTTTGCTGACAGGTTTTCTTCGGAAAATAAATCCTCCCTCAGCCTTCGTTGTCACTATCCGTCAAAGTGTCAAATCCGTCAAAGTCGAGACCACCGGTTCCTCCGCGAATACCAAAAGGACTCGGTAGAAACCCGCCTTTGCCACCAATCCCCTTAGGAAGACTTGGGCCGTCAGCCACAGCAAGTAATCCTAGGTTATCTTATCTATCCCGTTTTAGGGAGTCGGAGATTGCTCTTAGTTCGGAAGAAGAAGACGATCAGAAGTCGAGCACATCGCTCGGATCAGTCCTCGGAGAAGAACGAGAAGCACCAAATACAAATATGTCCTCAATGACGATCGGACATGGAGAATCAGCCCCTGAGATGCCGCCAAAGGTATACTCCGAAGAGGAGCTGAAGGAGAGGTTGGAAAGACAGATGCACTCTTTGGCCGAGGACTGGCGTAAGGTAGCTGGTCAAGGACAGTCGAGTGACCCCTTCCCAACAGGTACGCCTACGGACTCGGCTCTACGAGCATGGTACGCCCGGAACTTTGGAAAGGTAATTCCCCCAGAGGTCCCCGTTGGTGGGTCCAGTAAGGGTAAGGCCTCAGCCGATCCGGACGACTCGTATGATGTCCGCCCACCCAATGGAGGTCGGGAGTTTAATGTCGGGCGACCAAGCGAATACGACGGAAGTCATAATGGACTTCAAACCTGGGTAACTCAAGTCGAAGGTTATCTGAACCTAAACAAGCATGTCTATAATACGGAAGCCTTGAAGATCTCTTTCGCCTTGACATATATGACCAAAGGGGCCGCTGTCTCGTTTGCAGAAAACTATCAAAACGAGAACAAGATGCTCGATGGAACTATTTGGTACACCGATACTTTCCAAAGGTTCGTTGAACGTCTCAAGGCAACTTTCGAGTCTGGGGATCAGACCGCCCTCGCGATTCTGCGTCTCTCGAGTATCACTCAAGGAAAAAGAGAACTCGAAGCTTATATTGCTGAGTTCACCGGACTTGTCAACAAGGCCCAGCTGAAGGAAGAGTCGCGTGAAGCCGGGATCTTCTTTGGGAAAGGACTCAATTCGGAATACCGCGATTGGATTCTCAATTCAGGACGCGCCCCTTCCACGGTCATCGAGTGGATACAGCGCGCGGGAGAAGCGAGAACTGCCATCGCTACTAAGCATATTTTGGAAGGAAAGGAGTCCAGGTACGAACGGAAGTTCATTCATTTCCGTGGAAATTCCCGAGATCCCGACGCGATGGACGTGGACAAAAGAAGGCGAAATGTACGCCGATCAAACAACGAAATCACGTGTTTCGAATGCGGAAAGAAGGGTCACTACAAGCGTGACTGTACTTCTCCCAAGACCAAGAGCCTACCTGGCGTAAGGATCGCCTTTTCCGACGATGGAAAAAGGACCGCTTACGTAGGAGAACGATTGGCAACGGCCGAAGAATTAAAGGCGTATGGTCTTAACGAAAAGGATTTTTAAGAGGGACCACGGACACTCCTCCCGTAGGTCCCGCTGCGATTTTGTCTGCTACATGTACTTCTATCGACGATGAATCAAAAATGCGTGTTGGATCGCCGATAGGAAGGGGTTGGCTGACAGATTATAATGCAGGAGTAACCGTCTGCCTAGACTCAGGGGCAGAGGTCTCGCTCATATCGGAGCGAATCGTCAACAAACTCAAGATCCCGACGTATAGGGTAAAAGAGCGTTTCAAAACAACATCCTTCACCGGGAAAGACGTCGAGTGGATCACTCGAAAAGTAAACCTCAAGGTCATCATCAAGAATCGTGCCCTTCGAGTAAAGTGCTACGTCGGTCCGCTGGTAGGAAAGGAGCATATCCTGCTGGGAATGCCGTTCCTTCGGTTCTACAAGCCGAGGATCGACTGGGAGAACAACAAAATTATTTGTTGGGACGATGGGTATGTACCGACGAGGAATACTGACATATATATTCGCAGTCAGATGCCTTGGTATCAGGGATACGCCGTCAAGTTCAACAATGACGGATCGATAAAGGAAGATACAAAGGTAACCATCAACAAAACTACTTTATCCACAGAATTGGAGGCCGCCTTGGCATCAACGAAAGAAGGGGTAACCCTTCCGAAAATGTACCAAGACTTCGCCCAAGTCTTTTCAGAAGAAGACATCCCACTGCCCCGCCATCGTCCGGGTCTAGACCATGAAATCCGACTCAGGGACGACTTCAAGCCCAAGAAAGCGGCAGTGTACCCCATGTCTCCAGATGAATTAAAGGTTTTGGACGAATTCCTCGAAGAGAACTTGAAATGTAAAAAGATCCGACCTTCAACGTCACCGCAAGCAGCTCCGGTGTTCTTTGTAGCCAAGAAAGATGGAAAGAAACGGTTAATTCAAGACTATCGGTATCTTAACTCTTTCACCATACAGGACGCCCACCCGCTGCCTAACGCACAAGCTCTGTTTGACGAGTTGGTCGAATCGCGATACTATGCCAAGTTCGATATTCGTTGGGGTTTCACCAATTTACGGGTAAAGGAAGGTGACGAATGGAAAGGAGCCTTTATAACCCCTAGAGGGTTGTTCGAACCTACGGTGATGTTTTTTGGTCAATGCAACTCACCGCCTTCTTTCCAGCGCTATATGGACCGTACCTTTGAAAGCCAACGAGGAAAACAGGTCGGGTATATGGACGACGTGGCTATCCACGGAAAGACAAGGGAAGAACTTCGGACTCGTGTCCGGGAGTTTTTGGAGATTTGCAGAAAAGAAGGACTTCGGTTGAAGATCAGCAAATGCGTGTTCGAAGCCGAAGAAATAGAATTCTTGGGAATGATCATCGGGAAGGGTCGTATTGAGACTTCGCCGACGAAGACTGATGCGATCAAGACCTGGGAGGCCCCTGACAATCTTACGGGCCTCCGTCGCTTCTTAGGATTCTGCAACTTTTATCGCAAGTTCATCCCCTCGTTTTCAAGCGTCGCTCGCCCGTTGCATGACTTGACGAAAAAGGGAGTATCGTATGTATGGACTCCGGAACGAAATGCCGCTTTCGAGCGGCTGAAAGCTTTGTTATGCTCCGCTCCGGTCCTCGCGATTCCCGACTTCTCCCGCCCGTTTGCTCTCTTTACTGACGCCTCGAAACTCGGCACTGGCGCCGTCTTGGCTCAGAAGGGCTCCGACTCTGAATGGCACCCTTGCTCCTACCTCTCCCAGTCCTTGGTGGGAGCGGAACAGCGGTACCAGGTCTATGACTTGGAAATGCTCGCCGTCATTCGGGCACTTAAAGCCTTCCGCCCTTATTTGCTTTCGCCGGTGGAACCAACGATAATATTTACCGACCATAAAAACCTGGAGTACTACCGTGAGCCCCAACAGCTGACCCCACGCCAGGCTCGTTGGGCTGCTACAATCCAGTCTTACCCCATCAAGTTTTCCTGGCAGGCCGGTCGCCTCCAGGTCCCCGCCGATACGTTGTCTCACCGAAACGACAGCGCGGAACCCGACCCAGTGGCCACGGTCCTTCCTTCGGACCTTTGGCTTGAAGGGGGGGTGGACACCTCAATTCGCCTCGTTTCGCCGACTTTTTCCCTTACTAAAATATTAAAAACACAAAAAATAAACCGCCTAGCTCGCGTCGGTCGTCTTCCAGCTCGACTCGCTAGGTCGACCGGCAAAAAGAAGCCCTACTCTCGCCCCACGAGGGAAATGCCAAAGGAGAGTAGCACCCCAAACGCTCGCCCGTCTGAGGAAAGTCTCAAAGGAGCAAGAGGGGTGCTCGCCGTGTCGACGGAGCTGTACGAAAGCATAAAGAAAAGTGCACAGCAAAGTGACTATACCGACGCGAAAATCAAAGATAGCGTAACTACCGCCCCAGATGGAACCCAACGGTTCGGAACAACACGGTTGTATATCCCTCCGGAACACCGCCAACATTGCATGCGAACATATCACGATCACGAATCCTCTGGCCACCCCGGTCAAAAGGCTATGTTCGCGAAGATGAGGAAAGAAGTGTGGTGGGACGGTATGGGAAAAGACATAAAAGCTTACGTTGCCGGATGTCCAACCTGTCAAGGATCCAAGGTCGTTACACATCCACCAAGGCCCCCAGTTACCCCGCACGAAACCGCTAGAACCATGTTGCCGTTCCAACAGATATCGATGGATTTCATTACCGATCTTCCGGTCTCCGGATCAGAGAAGTATGATTCCATTCTCACGGTTGTCGATCAAGGGTTGTCGAAGGCCGCGCTGTTCGTGCCTTGCCACAAAACTACCGACTCCGAAGGATTGGCGAGGTTATTCCATCGTTTCGTTTACGCCCGTTTTGGTATTCCGGAATCAATCATCTCGGATAGGGGCCCACAGTTCGCCTCCTCATTTACGAAGGAGCTCTACAAGGCTATTGGAGTAAAGACTAAACTTTCCACTGGTTATCATCCTCAAACTAACGGTGAAAGTGAACGAGTTAATCAGGAAGTCGAAGGGTACCTCCGCCTCTACTGCTCGGAGTTCCCCAACTCCTGGAGCGGTAAGCTCCCTTCCGCCGAGTTCGCCCATAATTCTCGCGTCCACTCGGTGCATCAAATGACTCCTTTCTCATTACTCCTTGGTTACGACCCCTCTCCTTATCCGGAAACCCGACTTACGCCGGTTCCATCAGTGGAAGAAAGATTAGAACGACTCGCCGCAAACCGGGATGTCGCCATTCTGGCGCACAAAAAGGCACAGGAGTTGATGAAGAACAGGTCAAAAGGAAGTTATGTCGCTCCGAAGGTCGGAGACAAGGTCCTCCTGGATACTTCAAACCTGCGCATCAAAAACCAGTGCGACAAGATTGCGCCGAGACGTCTCGGCCCCTTTGTGGTGACTCAAGTCGTTTCCCCCGTGGCTTTCCGATTGGACCTACCAGCAACCTGGAAGGTTCATCCTGTGTTTCATGGGTCGCGGATCTTCCCGTTTGTCGAAAACGAGGTTTATGGAACTGCGGACGCAGCCCCAATACCGGAATTGGTCGACGATGAGATCGAATGGGAGGTTGAGTCAGTCTTGAATCATAAAACTGATGGTCGCCGAGGACACAGGAAGTACTTGGTCAAGTGGAAAGGGTTCCCTCATTCGTCAAATACGTGGGAACCGGAAGAACACTTAAAAGAGCACGCTTCAGAAGTGCTGAACCAGTACAAGTTCGCTCGACATCTCAAAAATTGACATGGGCTCCCCTCGATCTGTTAACACTGAAAACGACTATGCCGACCTCGCCGCCCCCGCTGAATCCTTTTGTTACACCGACGACGACGGGCTCATTCCCCCCGTCGCTTCCTATGCACCAACCTCTCCCTCGACATCCCCCGGAGGCTTTTATGCCTCGCGACTCTCCCCTCCCCTGTCGCAGCCCCGCTCGTTATCCCCCGTTGCCTCCAGAACGACGGGACCGCGTCCACTCCAGGGCATCTCGATCAGGCGTGCCCCGATCCCGAAGGTCAGAGTCTCCCGCAGTGGAGACAGTAGCCGGGAAGGAAAGGGAAAAGCGCGGGTTGATGATGACTCCGATAAACGAACAACCACGGCCACTACCGCCGATGCTCCCGACCCTTCCTACATACGCCCCGCTTTCGACTCCTATGGTGACCGAAGCAATAGGGCAGCCCTCGACATCCTCGCCTCGGTCGCCTCCGCTGCCCGGTCAGACGAGCCGCGATTACCAGTCCCAGCGGCTGAGTACGTGGACGTTGTTAGGGCGCTTGACCTCTTCAACGACGGGGACCACGTTGACGGGTGCTCACCAGAACAAGATAAGTATTTTGGGTTGCTGTCTGAACTCTACAGAGCATCAGACGTGATAAACGGACTCGTGTCAAAAGTCCGGACCCGAAGACTTAACGGAACGGCGTCCCTGTCGGAAGTCATCATGATCGGGATGTTGGAGAAGGCTTCGTCGGACATCACCGAGGCGATTACTGGTGGCGCCTATCACCATTTAAGGGAACAGCAGCTCTCCGACTTCCTAGCAGCGCCAACGTCTCGGATCCTTGACCGAATCAAACCGAAAGAAGAAACTTCGGAAAGGAAGCCTTACCTCACGGATCAGGAGAAAGAGACGGAGTGGCGTGCGATAGAGTTGAAATATGTTGATTCCGGAGAGCTTTTTAAGGAGGTCGGTAGTCGCTTGGGAACTGGGACTCATAACTCCTCCTGGGAGGTATTGTTGCAGGATGCGTCGTGGGCAGGACTTCACAAAAACTACTTCAACGCCGTCCACGCCGCCGACCCTATCCCTGCGACTCCCTTCGTCCCCGTCCCTTCGGATCAACTGCGGTTTTACCTTGGAGGGCAGTCACCCGTTCCCCCTGGGCACCCACTCTACCCCCATGCCTGCTACCAATGCCGTTACCTGGGACATTGGTCGTGTCGCAACGGACGGGGTTCCCGCTTTACTCCGGCCCTCGAGGAGCCGCCGACTCCATCGCCTCCATCGCCTCCATCGCCCGTCGCCACTCGGACGCGTTCCCGCGTCTATACTACTCGCCGACCCCTATCCACCCGCCCCGCGAACGCTTCCGGCGGGTCGTCCTCAAGGGTCTGAGGACCGTGAGGGGGGGGTGATGTTACGCTGGCTTTCCACTGTTTCCTTTTTCGACGTCTTTGCGGTCACGTGCGTCATGTGCCTCGTCGCGTCGTTGATCGTCGTGGTGGTTCTAGGGGTGCAGATGCTGAACGAGTGACTCGGATCACCCGCTGTCCAGGTATTACCAATACCTGGTGAGACTCATCAATTGTGATCCGGTCCGCGACGTTCGCCGCTCTCGTGATGGTAGAGATGTTCCCTTCTTACTCCGCTGACTCCTGTTGACTCGTATATATTACTCGTATGTTGTACTATAGCTCCGGAGTCAGGCTCCTCGCTGCGTATTGATTGCGCAGCCGGTATAGCCTTCGTTTCCTTGTCCACCCTTATCTTTGACTCCGGATGACTCATATTTATTTCAGTGATTAGTTTGTTGATTACTGCGGATATGCGTCGCGACGCGTCTGTCGCGACTGGTAGGGTACTCGTACTTAGGGGTATATAAGCCCACGTACTTTACCTTGTATCCTCAGTTTTTCGATAGCTTGCAACTGAGCTCATTCCTCTGTTCTTTTCCTTGTTCTCTCTCCGTGCGAACAACCTTCGGGACTCGCCAGGCCAGGGGGAACCTCTGTCGGAAACTAACGGTAGCTCAGCCATAGGGGTTACGACTAGTTCGGCCCGTAGACTCCCACCTCGCGCGCTTCGTGCCTATTCCATTTGAAGAAGTCACCGCGCTCGGGCATAACACAATTCCATTCAACATAATGTTCATTGAAATGAGTTAAATATACAAATTAAAGCTGGTCTGGTTTAAGATGGTAGCCTACACTTCCCAGCTCTTCCTCCAGAAGATCTGCTAACTGTTGCTGGAATCTGGTAAGCATGGCATGCTGTTCAACATGTGATCACCACTCCCTGGTTGCATCCACCAGGGTATTGGCATAATACCTATATGTGGTGATCATATTGGCATCATGTGCAGCATTGATGTCTGGCTGATGTGCCCCACTCCTAGCCACAATACTGGAGATCTGCCTTGACATTTGAACTGGTAGACATGTTTAGCTATGGTTGCATAGGAACTTCTGGACTTACACTCGGTTTGTGGAGTATCAACTCCTGGCTGTATGGTGAACTCCTGGGAGACTGCTAAAAGCTCCAAATGCAACAACAAGATTGGCACTGGTGATGGGGATCTAGCTGGTGGTATTGATGTGGAGCTGAATGATGCAGGAGCATCTGAAAGGTCCATAGGTTGACAAGGACCAGGGAAATTGCCACTGGGCAATGTGAATGTTGTTGGGCTAGGAACTGGGATAGGATTGTGACAGGCTGGTGACACAGAGGGAGTTAAGGACTGAAATTGGGGCTCAGGCAATAGGATGAATGGTCATGATGATTGGCCAGCTGCATGAGTTGGGTAGATGTAAGCTGACAATCTTGTGGCAGCAGGTGACTGAAATGCCAATTCTTGTAAAGGACTGACTGGTGGGGACTGGAATGGTGGGGGCAACCCCCAAGGTGGCTCATGCAATGGCATACCTGGGGCAACAGGTGGTGGTGATTTGTCCCATGCCAGCTCAAGTAATGGGGTGCTGTCAGAGAGGCATGTTGATATGGAGTCCCAAGAAGGCTCAACCAATGGGCTGCTAGAGGAGGGAGACAGTGCCAATGACTCCCATGCTGGCTCTATCAAAGGTGATCTGGGCAAACCAGAGGACTGGAAGGAGGGTTCCATTCCAGATGTGCATATTGTTTGAGCCAGGGACAGCTCAAAAGGTGGCTTGCATAATGGGGATGACAGAGCATCTGGCAGGTCATCTTCAGTAAACATTTCCTCATCCTCATTGAGAGATGTGAGCCACTGCATATCATGGCATGATGGAATTACTGCACACAGTCATTAGAAGTAATGGTCCTTGGACCAGTTGACTTATGGAGTTAATCTGGACTGCTGGAACTGAATCTAACATTTCTGGGAGCCATATGAAAGTTCAAAACATTGTAGGCACCATGGGGATTACACCAATGTTTGAGAATGATTTTGATACCAGTGATAAGATTGTATTACACAATATTTTTTCACCAGTCATCATGCAGGATGTGCAAGTGCATACATAATGGAAATGGGCACTTAGTGGAATGACTGTCAACTGCCATACATTACTCCCACCAAAATATGTTCAATGGTTAAACCAGTACATTGACTATTGTAAATCACAGCATCACTGCAGTGAGCATTTGTATTGTGCTTATGTAAGCCTGTTGAATGGTGTATGCTAGCTGGCAAATTCACCACACCACTCAAGCACCCACCACCTGCACACCAAAGCTTTAACAGCACTATGTCTACTGCCAACACCAGCACCTTCATCCTGGCACAATTGACTGACAACATCCAGCTGGTCATCACTGCTGAAAATGCCAAGTGGATGGTTGAAGAGGCTGCCAGGGTTACAATGCAAGCACTGAGAGGACTTCAGGGCTGGGACACTAAGCACTGGGGCAAAGCAGCTCAGCTTGTGTGGGCCCAGCTGGTAAGTGAAATTGTAGCCATGATATCCATTTCTGACATCTATGTAGGGAATGGTCTGAATGGTTGTTGATGTTAGATTTGGCAAGTCGCATGTAGCTCGTTCTGAACGCATCCACTCTGGGTCGTGAGAACTAATTTCCGCTTTAGACCCTTTTCTTCCTCAACACTATTACTGAATGTGCAAACTAACTCTCTGCGTCCTTGTGTTTGTTGTATTTACAGTGTCTCGCACTTATGTGCGAGTCCTCTTGTTATCCATGAAGACCATAGTGTGTCTCACAACAAGACAATACTTATTGTAAATGGGTTCAACACCCGGTGTTTCACTTCTATTGTTACATTACAGTATTTAGTTCTGCACTGTAGACCCCATCACCTCAGATGTTGTCGCTGTCTGCGCACAATTGAGGTGAGTACAATATCCTTCTGCTTACTTTACTATGCTTACCATGCACCTAGTTACTTGTATAGGTAAATATATACAGACGTTGTCGCTGTCTGCGCATGACTGAGTTACTTGTATAGATACTTCTGTGAGGTTATGAGCCCCGAGCTCTAATAGCCTACGAACGTCTCACCATCGTTTCAATATTCTCACTGTTAAATCGACCCTCATCTCCCCACAATGACCACTGCTATCCCTGTCACCACTGATACACTCCCAGGCAACATTCCGAAGCTCGATATCAAAGGCATGAACTGGGTGATCTTCTCCCTTCACTTCCAGACTGCTGTCGAAGCTAAGGAGCTATGGTCCCACTTTGATGGAACCTCTCTTTGCCCTGCCGGTATGACCTCCACTGATCAGGATGGATTCATGACAGTAGTCCCTCCCGACGCTGATGAACTCGCTAAGTGGCAGAAAAGCGAAAATATGGCGAAACATTTACTTACTCAATGGATCCCTGATTCCACTGCCCTTCAGGTGCATAGCCTTAGCAGCGTCGCTGCCATGTGGAATGAGATCATTCGTGAGTACACTGAGAAGGGAGCTTACACTCAAACAGATCTGCGAATGAAGTTTTTAGGCATGCAATGCCCTGCTGACAGCAACATCTGCCAATTCCTGGACAATCTGTGTATGAAGAGAGACGAGTTGGCAGCCATCAGCATACAGATCGAAGAAAAGGACTATTGATCAACCATCATCCAATCCTTACCCAAATACCTCGCCAGCTTTGCATCTGGTCAGCTTGCAACTGCTCATTTGTACAGCCCAACGCAAACTGTCAACCCCGATATTCTCATCTCCCTTGTTATCGAAGAATCAGAAAGATGAAGCCACAAGGAGACACGGCACTCACGTCCTAAGCAAAGAACCCATGAAGGTGACGTAGCCTTGGCCATGACCCCTGGAAACTCCTCTAATCGAGGATGAGGGAGTTGGAAAGGTCGAGGAGGAAGCTCCAGAGGGCACGCTTGCCAGCGTGGACCCTGCTGGAACTGTGGGTCGAGGGAGCACTACAAGTCTCAATGTCCTGATCCTGATAAAAAGAAAGAAGCTACATCCACTGCTAAAAATGGATCTGCTCATGCTGTGACACTTGACTCTGATGAAGAGGGCGCCTTCTCAGCCCATGCCTTGGACGAGCTGGATGATGAGGTGACGCTCCCTGATCTATTGAGTGTATCCTCGGATGATGACGATGAATATCAGCAACACTTCACTGCCTGCAACGAGGACTGGTTCAGTGAGGTGGAGGAAGTGGATGGCAAGGACTCACCTTGCAGAAACAGCTCAAGTCCTGATGAGCCCACTGAAACCTCCCCAGAGTTCACAAACCTTGTAAATGACAGCCCTATTAATGTGTGTGTCGTTGAACTCTATGATTCTGGATCCACTTGTCACATCTCCCCCTACAAGGAGAGATTTGAGGCCCTAATGAGCATACCACCTAGGTCATTCTCAGTGGCGACCAAACAACTCTTTAACACCACAGCTATGGGGGAGATGGTCATAGAAGTACCAAACAGGTATGATGTGACTAAATTGAGACTTATGGAGGTGCTATATTCGCCCAAGGTAGGATACACCCTCATATCCATCAGCCACCTTGATCAGCTAGGGTACTCTGTCACCTTCACTGAAGGCACCTGCATCATCAGGAACCCCACCAATGACATTGTTGGACATGTCCCCAAGTCCAAAGCCGGTCTCTATCACGTCATTCACAACGACGATCGCGACCAAGCGAACTCCATGACTGAAACGGTTACTGTCATGGAGCTTCACCAAAGGATGGGTCACATATCTCCGACTGCTGCCCACCGCTTAGCTGAAAAGGGACTCATGTCAGGACTGAAATTTGACTTGTCAAAGGACGAACTGACCTTCTGCGAAGCTTGCATATATGTGAAGGTGACCAGAAAGCCTGTCGCAAAGGAACGTGTCAGAGACCGAGCTACTGAATTCACGGAAGAAGTGCATACTGACCTCTGGGGACCTGCACCTGTTGAAACTCTCGGAGGATGGTGTTACTACATCTCGTTCACAGACGACAAGACACAACTCACCTATATCCATCTCCTCTGTCAGAAAAGTGAAGCTTTCTTGGCCTATAAAGATTTCGAGGCCTGGTGTCGCATGCAACATAATGCCTGTGTGGAGACTCTTCATTACGATCGAGGTGGCAAGTACCTAGGAAAAGAATTTGTGATGTACCTCAGGGCAGCTGGTACAAAGCAAAAACTCACTGTACACAATACCCCACAGCACAACAGCATTGCTGAGCGCCTTAACTGCACGTTGCTGGAGAAAGTATGTGCCATGCTACATGAGAGTGGATTACCTCACGCCCTTTGGGGTGAGGCAGTACATCATGCCATCTGGTTGAAGAACAGAACCCCCACTAAAGCACTTGATGGAGGAACACCTCTCGAAGCTGCGACTGGGAAGAAACCTGACCTTAGTTGAGCCCACACATGGGGCTCAAACATCTGGGTACAAATTGAGGGTGGAAGCAAGCTGGGAGGACGCATCGCTGAAGGCTGATGGGTTGGAATAGACGATAACAGCCCCAACAGATGTCATGTATACTGGCCTGAAAAGAAGTCAGTCACTGTCAAAAGAAATGTGTACTGGGACCCCTCCTCGGCTGAGCCATTACCTTGCGAGGGGGAGGAAGAAGATGCATACTTACCAAATGAGATGCTAATGTCTACAGCACCCGTTGCAGAGATTGCCGCAGCTCCATCACCTCCACCAGTTGCTCCAGCTCAACCCATGCCTCCACCGCTTCCAGCTGATCCACCTGTCGCAAAATGAATCCGAAAACCCAGCCAGCGCCTTGCAGAGATTCTTGCTGGAAAAGGTAGTACCAACCATCGTGGTACACCTGAAGTACCAAAAGGAGTTCAGTTACCTACTGTTGACAAGGAATGTTCAAACCCTGTCAGGCTCGAGGGGGAGCAAGAGACTGCCGCAGCCCTACTCACATCTATCATTGAAGACTTGGACAATGACCTATGTCAGATTGACCTTGCTATGGCAATGGACGAGATTACTGCTGAAACAGAAGCTCTCGAGCCCAGCTCGCTAGCTGAAGCTCGTTGCCGTCCTGATTGGCCACAATGGGAAAATGGTATAAGAGAGGAGTTAGCAACATTACGGGATGCAGGAACTTGGGAACTTGTCGACTTACCCCCCGGTGCAAATGTCATAGGTTCAAAATGGGTGTTCCGGGCCAAGAAGGATGCTGCAGGAAACATCATGTGGCACAAGGCCAGACTTGTTGCCCAGGGGTACTCACAGGTTGAAGGTGTCAATTACTTCGATACATTCGCACCAGTAGCAATGCTTGCGTCCATCCATGTTGTACTCACGATGGCTGCTCGCTCCAATCTACAACTCCGTCAGATAGATATCAAAGGAGCGTACCTAAATGGCACACTCACTGATGATGAAGTCATTTACATGCGCCAGCCTCCTGGATTCGAATCTGCCAATCACCCACACAAGGTCTGCCACCTTTGCAAAACTTTGTATGGCCTAAAGCAAAGTGGTCGTTGCTGGTACCAGAGGCTAGTCGAGATATTAGTAGACGAGCTCGGGTTCACCCAGTGTTCTGTCGACCAAGCTGTGTACTTCTGATGTTGCAACACCGGCAAGCTCATAATCATCATCGTACACATCAATGACTGCACTATTGCTGCCACACTTTCAAGTGGGATTGATGAGTTCAAAAGGGACATCAGAAAGTACATCAAGATAACTGACCTTGGCAAGCTCCATTGGTTGCTCGGGATAGAGGTCACCAGAAACCGAGATGAATGCACTATCTCACTGTGCCAGCATCCCTACATCGAATCGATCATCCGACACTTCAGCTTTGATGAGTTAAAACCCATATCAAACCCCATGGAACCTAGCACAAAGCTGCACTCTGGTCAGTCACCCTCCACCGGTGCTGAATACACTGCAATGAAACACATACCATATCGCAAAGCTGTTGGCTCGCTGATGTATGCCTCCCTGGGTACCCATCCCGACATCTCATATGCTGTGACCACTGTCTCCCATTTCTCCAGAAATCCTGGGATTCCCCACTGGGAAGCAGTTAGAAGAATATATTGTTACCTTCTTGGAACCAAGAATTTGAAGTTGATGTATGGTGGGACACCCAACGTGCTCATAGGATACGCAGATGCAGACGGAAGTATGGCAGAAGACTGCAGAGCGGTCTCAGGGTACGCTTTCTTGATAGATGGTGGCACTGTGTCGTGGTCCTCAAAATGACAGGAAATCATCTCACTGTCAATGACTGAAAGCGAGTACATGGCAGCCACCCACATGGCCAAGGAAGCCTTATGGCTTCAGTCACTCATCAGAGAGCTGTTTGGGCCACTTGCTGAACTGACCACATTGTTCTCAGATAATCAATCAGCTATTGCGCTGTCACACACCAAAGGTGTTTGGTGAGGTGGACATGGATGTAGCTGATGAATGGAGGTGAAGACCATAGCCCTCATGTGAAGAAGGACAGCCAGCAATGTCGGCAGTCATCCCTCGCACAAGAACAAGTTGACAATGCCAAAGAAAAAGGAGGAGGCAGGTTAAGCGCCAATAAAATTCTTAAGCGCCTGTGTACAGCATTCCAGTTTTCAACGTATCTCCACCAATTCTGCAGACACTGAAACCATTCCCACACTCGCTTGTAGTGCTCAGCCACGCGATCCTACCTTCCAAGATTGGAAAGGATTTGCACACTCCACACATTTCTACAGCACTCCCTCCAAAAGACGCTCATTTCACTAATTCTTCTGATATGGCTGCCTCCACATCAGTCATTTCACTTGTCCCCTTTGCTAGGGACCATGGCTACATATATCTACCAGGAGTTCCTACCAGCTTCTGTCCTGAAGCGTCCTGGTACATCCCACCCTCATCTGCCCCCTCTCAGCCCATCCAGCTTGGACAGCATGTTCTTTTTGTCAGTATGACCTCCAGGAGGACATTCTTTGGTTGCCTCAGGTCTGTTGTTCGCTTGGAAAGGTCTTGTGTGGTCATTTCAGTCTCTCTGGTCCAAGAAGCATATGGATCCTTCCTCCCTGCCCCCTGCAATGTCTTTATACCTGGTCTCATCCGTTGTTCTTCCAAAATTGCAACAGCTACAGTATAATCTACTGTTCTCCACTCTCCCTGATCGCATCCATGATGAGTATGATGCACATCTTGCCTCCTTGTTGCAAGATACAGCAGAAGATGCTCCCCCTTCATCCTCTCTTCCAACAGAGCCTCATTCATGAAGTTTTTATTTGCTTCACTGAGAGGATGGTTTGGGGGGGAAAGTTGCAATCCCCTATGCTCCTGTCACCCCACAGACCCCCAAAGCTTGACCCCTGTTGACATCTGACTCACCCTGTCTGCTTTTGGATGTACTATATCAGCATCAGATCAGCACTGCCTCTCTGTCATCCCACTTTGGCCTGGAAGTGATCTCTTCAAGATGTGACATGCACAGCCTCCCCCTAATGTGATTCCAGTGCACTTTCCCAGTTCCTGACGTTGCTTGACTCATACTGTGACATTCTGACTGTCTTTGACTCACCTATTGCCAATACTTACCAATCTTTTGACTTTGCTTACTGATTCTTTGCTTTTTGGCTTACTTATCCTTACCAATGCTTACCAATGCTTTCCAAGATGATTACCCATCGCTTACATTCCTTACTCATCAGTTACCAATCACTTACCAAGTGTTTGCACCTTGTTTTCCATAGGCAATGCCCCTGTACTGTATATAAGTCACTGTACTTAGGTAGCAAAAAAAAAAAAAGAAGACATCAGAGAGCCCCTCTTGCTCGCAATTTATCATCTCTCAGTAAATCATTCATCAGCTTCAATAGTTGAGACTTTATTAAGGGTCTAGCTATCATCTACTTCACTTATCATCATCTATCATCCATATACTTCACTCCAAGCCCTCCCTGAGCTCAGTACAGCTTAGGACATTGAATTAAGTCACCATCCATCCTTCTGTAGGCTGACAGCAGTCTACCCTATTGCTTTCTATCACATTCTTGCTCCCTCTTTGTCAGGAGCACCCCCAACCCTCAGCACTCATCTTTGAGTGTTGTAGCTCGCAAAAACCCTCCCAAAGAACTGGTTCTACCATCTAGGTACCACATAGGCACACCACCACTCGCTTTCATTGTCTTTTGTGTTGGTTTTGGTTGGTTTTCACCACTGAACCTCACTTTGACTCACAGTGCTCACCAAAGATCATCAATATCATGCACACACCAAACATATCAATATCCATTTCCACTTCATCCACTGGGTCGTTGAAAATGGCAAGATCTGCTTAATCTACTGCCCCACCACTGATATGGTTGCCGACACCCTGACTAAAGCTTTACTGTCGCCCAAGGTGAAGCACTTCACCATTGAACTCGGTCTACGTCCTACTTGAGGGGGAGTGTTAGATTTGGCAAGTCACACATAGCCCATTCCGAATGCATCCGCTCTGGGTCGTGAGAACTACTTTCCGCTTTAGACCCTTTTCTTACTCAACACTATTACTGAATGCACAAACTAACTCTCCATGTCCTTATGTTTGTTGTATTTACAGTGTCTCACACTTATGTGTGAGTCCTCTTGTTATCCATGAAGACCATTGTGCATCTCACAATGAGACAATACTTATTGCAAACAGGTTCAACACCCAGTGTTTCACTTCTATTGTTACATTACAGTATTTAGTTCTGCATTGTAGACCCCATCACCTCAGATGTTGTTGCTGTCTGCATGCAACTGAGGTGAGTACGATATCCTTCCGCTTACTTTACTATGCTTACTGCACACCTAGTTACTTGTATAGGTAAATATATACAGACATTGTCGCTGTCTGCACACGACTGAGTTACTTGTATAGATACTTCTGTGAGTTGAACATCTACCCCCAGCATTCAAGATCCCTCCACATCTTATTGCTATTGATATGCACATGGTTGACCTGGCAACAATCTTTGCCACACAGATGTGGCCACCTTTCAACCAGATGATGACAGCATGAGAGGCCAATGTGAAGGATCATGTGTGGTATCACCTTTGTCACCAGCCTAAGTCTCACCCATACTACAAGGTCATGGAGGAGCTTACTGGGCCTTCATTGAGGGCCAAGCACCAGGCACAGCTGGTGGATAAGGGGAAGGGGAAAGAGTTGGGTACAGATGAGACTCAAAGGATTTGGCTTCTGGGTGAGCACTAATTCTGAGGAAGGCAATTGGGTAGACTGCTGATACAGGATCCAAAGATGCACCCACAGAAACTATGGCTATGACCACTGGAGTTGTGATGCAGAAGCTGGGAAATGAGGAGGATCAGAACAGGGAGAAGGCATGGGGCCATAGCCAGTCAAGATGTGGCCAGCCAGCAGCCAAGCCTGTCAATGCCAGTGATCAGACCAGTAGAGGCCAGAGCCAGTCAAGGAGACCAATGAAGAAGGTGAAGCCAGCAGTCAACAAGGATGTGCAGGACTGGTGAGACATCAACAACCTTCCGGAGTCCTGGGAGGTAGTGCTGGAAGCTGAGCAGTGTGTGAGATGCTGGGACAGGAGTTGGCCCTGTGCAGTGCTAGCTGGCAGGGCATGTTGGCAATGCCACTGTACCAAATACTCATGCAGCTTGTTCAAGGGGAGGGGAGACAAGTCTGAGATGCAGCGAAAAGCCTCCCATTCAAGGCCTCACTGGGAATGATCCCCAGAAGACATGGCCAGCCTTCCCATCACTTCAATGCTGGCTGTGCCAGCTCCATCAACCAGTCGATGAGCCAAATGTCAAAGGGCACCAAGCTGAAATCAATCTGCCAGTCCATCCAAAGTAACAAGCTGTCATTCATCCCCTGGCCCATGGACTGGCCACCCCAGTAAGTTATTCACAGTCCTATGTTTTTTGCTAATCAGTTGAACTAATATTTCTATTGAGTAGTGGAAATTATTACTCCATCATGGCTACCCCAGTCATGGTCTCATGCAAGAAGCATTGCAACAGACCCACCCATCACTCCAGCACCAACTACTACAACTGGTGCTGATGATCTGTGCCATTGTGATGAGTATCAGGAAGAGGTTACCATCCTCAAGCAGGAGAATGCTGACATGAGGTGGGCAATAGAAGTAACCTGTACTGAGCTTGCTGCTCTCCATCAGGTGGTAGATGCTATCCATAATCACCTATTCCCAGCCCCAGACATGCTTAACCATCCTCTCACCCCATTTCACATTACTTCCAACCCTACACTGGTACCTCACATGCCAGTCATGGTGGAACTTGGCACTGCAACTGGTGTTGTCAAGGTTCAATCATCCTGAAGTCGCTCAAGACAGGAGTCCACTGAACCCCCCAGCTTCATTTGAGGGAGGTGCCAGCTTTGAAGTGCCTCCTTCGAATGTCAAAGCTGTGCATGGACCTGCTGGAGGTCTGGCAATCTCTATTACTCCACCACCACCAGCAGTTGGATCAGTGCCCAGACAGGAAGGTAGGATGGAGGTCAACTAACATCAATGTACTTGTCATTTTGCAATCCATTCATGTTTTTTTTGTCTTTGTACTTGTACTTTGTTAGATGCAGCAATATATTCTATATTGTCAAAATGTGATCTCCAGGAAGAAGTAGCTACCACTACTGGTAGTTGTTACTGTATGATTCAGATACTGGAAAACCAATCTGGTATGGTGATGTCTGTACCAAGGCCATGGTGTTACAAGTGCTAAGGGCCAATGGAGTCATGGTTCACCTAGATGATTGAATGATGACTGGCTGGCATAATTCAATTGTTTTTGCTGTATAGCATGATGGTGACTTTCATGGTATTGTTCTGGCTTGCTGGAGGCTGTAAGGCATTGAATTCACAGTTTAAATGTACTGGGTAGTTGGCTAGTCTTCTGGTCATTACCAGAGCCACCATTGTGGTAATACATGCATCTCTGGCATGGTACTGGTACCAGTATGTACATACACTGTGGACCTGCTCCTGGGAGGTCAGGCAGGTCAGGCATGGCATGGTATAATTTCTGGGCAGGCCTCCATGGCATTGGCACCAGGATGGCATTCATGGCATTGGTGCCAGGACAGCTTGACTGATGGCCTCATGACATTGGGGATGTGCCAGAACTCATTACAATGGTGCTGTGACAGCCTGCATGATGGCCTCATGGCATTGGGGATGTGCCAGAACATATGGCATAGGTGCCAGGACTGCTTCCATGGCATTGGTCTTGTGCCAGAACACATTATAATGGTGCCCTGATGGCTTGCATGATGGACTCATTGCATTGGGGATATGCCAGAATACATGGAACCAGTGCCAGGGCAGCTTCCATGGCATTGGTGTTATGCCAGAACACATTACAATGGCATAGGTGCTGGAATGGCTTCCATGGCATTGGTGTTGTGCTGGAATACATTACAATGGTGCTGGAATGGCTTTCATGATGGCCCCATGGCATTGGGGATGTGCTGGCACTCATTACACAGGTGCCAGGATGGCCTGCATGATGGACCTGTGGCATTGGGGATATGCTGGAATACATGGAACTGGTGCTGGGCCAGCCTCCATGGCATTGGTCTGGTGCTGGTACACATTACAATGGTGCCAGAATGGCCTTCACAATAGGCCTCATGGTATTGGGGATGTGCCAGAATACATGGCATAGGTTCTGGGATGGCTTCCATGGCATTGGTGTTGTGCTGGAACACATTCCAATGGTGTCAGGAGGGCCTGCATGATGGCCCCTTGGCATTGGGGATGTGCTGGAACACATGGACCTGGTGCCAGTGCCAGCTCACAATACATCAGTGCTGGGACATCTTCCATGATGGCCCCATGGCAGTGGCAATGTGCTGGAATATGTGGCATTGGTTCCAGCATGGCTTCCATGGCATTAGCACTGTGCCAGTTCACATTAAATCAGTGCTGGCCAGGATGGCCTCCATGGCATTGGTCCTGGGTTGGTGTTGGCCTGGCTCACATTGCATTGGTGCTGGGATGCCTTGAATGGCATTGGTATTGGGTCTGCCCACATGGAATTGATGCCAGGACAGCCAGCATAGCATTGGTGTTGTGCTGGCCTGCATGGCATTGGTAATAGGCCTGTTCATATTGCATTGGTGTTGGCCCAGCTCACATGGCATTCATCCCAGGATGGCCTGCATGGCATTGGTGGTGGGCTGGCCCACATGGCAGTGTTGCTGGGATGGCTAGCATGGCATTGGTGTTGGGCTGGCTTGCATGACAGTGTTGCCAGGGGTGAACTCAGGGGCTGAGCCCATCCATACCTTCTGGGGACACCCAACTCTGGGCTTACCTGGGACTACTCATATTGCGGTGGCTACACCCTAATCCCACAGCTGGCTTGTACCCCATGATGACAATTCTAACCTCTGCCCAGCCATTCTCCATAATGACTCCTACTCTTGGGCTCAGCTGTATGCTATGGTGACATGCATTTATTGGGCTCTCCCATAGTCCATGATGACACTTACTCCCCAGCCTGGTTGTAACTGACAATGACAATTCAAACCACAGCTGCACCATTCCTCATGACAACATTTCCTCTCAGGCTCAGCTGTACTACATGGTGACACTCATCAGTTGGGCTCTCCCATACTACAAGGTGACAATAGGTTCATGGCTCTCATGTAACACATGTGCACAAGCCATACATGGGCTCAACTTCTGCTGGCCAACTGTCAGCCTCCGCTGACCATCCCATATGGCCCAACCAGGTGCATGGGCTTGCATCACAACATATGGACAGGCCCTTCAGTAGTATTATTTATATCATCACAACATATGGGCAGGCCTGGCCCCAGTAAGATGTACCCTGTCGAAACATAAAGATGGGCCCATCACTAAGGGCCTGTTCAGTAATGCAATTAAAAATGATTTTTCCTGCAAAAAACTCAAATGAAATCATGAAAATTTGTTAAGTGAAATATTGCCTGATGAGTGTTCAATGGGCCTTATTGTGGTCTGTCAAACATCAGAGAAACAGGGAATGACAGAATCATGGTCACGACCAGTCAGTGATGGGTTTAAACAGGTTTAAACCATTTTTTTGCTTCCTGATGAATGTCACAACATGAGGGAAAATTTGATTGCTGTTCAGTAGCCCTTATTTTACCAGAGCATAGTTGTTCCGTTCATCTTCCTGTCACCTTCTGTCCCAAGTCCTTATGGCCAAAAAGTCTGCAAAGGGGTTTCAAGTTTCCATAGCTGAACTGGGCACAACAGGTGGCACAGCCACACCACAAACAAAGGCAGATGCCATGTCATGGTCCAGCACTGATGAGTCAGTTCTTGTCAGTGAGCTCCTTGAAGCCAAGGACAACATACTTGCAACAGATAGTGGATTCAAGCATGAGGCCTGGGTTGAGGTTGAGAAGGCCCTTCAGGGCAGTGAAACTAAGGGCACCAGCTGGAGGCACTTCATTCATAACCTCTCTGGTGACATCCCCACAGTGATGCATGGCCACAATTCACCTTGCTTCAGAGGAGGAAGGTCTGTCTGATAATGAGATGGCTGATGTTGCTGACTTGTTTGGCACAAGTCAGGCTGCTGTGGAGGGGTATCTCAGCTTGAGGAAGGGTGTCCAGTCAGTTTATTTACAGAAACAGCTTGAACATTTCTATTCCTCTGATTCTTGAGTGCCTAGATCAACTGTACCTACTGTTCAGCTAGATACCTCTGATACTCTGTCTACATTGCATCTGCAATGTTGTCTCATCATCTGTCAGCCCTAGTCTTTTCTGCAGGGGATATTTCTCCTCCAAGGTCATCAGGATCATGAGTGCAAATAAAGTTGAAAAGGAAGCAGATGGCATGAATTACCTTGGCTTGCACTTTGATGGACAATTCAAGAAGTGTTTTCAGGGAGGGGAAACAATGCTTGGCAACACCAAATATGTGCTCAACTACATTGCAAGCTGATGCATGTTGAAGGTTAAATAGCTCCTTTGGATTCTGAGGTCTGATACCCATTCAATGCTGGTACATGAATAAAGAACCATGTGATGACATACCTATTTGCTGATCTTTCCCATTCCTTGAGATGGTAGTGGACCCCACAATATGGGACAAGCAGAGCATCACAAGAGGGGAAACCTGCATCAGCAAGATAGTACTTGCCAGGGGGAATGTGAAAATCCCTCTCACAAGCATCATGATAGATGTGACTGTCTGCAGCACTGCCCTCCCAGCCACTGAGGACATATTGAAAGTGCATGTCAACACTGCAGGATGCAAGCACATTCTGTGAGATAAATCCCTTGCGATCTCGATAGGGGGCTTGCATATGGGTGGGCACAAGAGCAGCAATATGAGTCCCATCAATGGCACCAAGTGCATCCTTGAAAAAAGGGTAGAACTTTGGCTGGCCATGAATCTCTGGTGGGATAGGAGCATTATGGCCTGGGAGTTTGACATAAGATCCATAGACAGGTGGTGAGATACAAGCTTCAAGCACCTGATGAAACACTCTGATGGTTACAACTCAATTCAGATCTTATCTAGTACAAATCATACTATGGACTCACCTTGATATTGTGTCACCACTGTGCTGGAACTGTTCTTGTGTTTCACAGTTGGAGTGGCCCTTTAGAATGTAGAGGAAGATTGCAAGATGTTCCTCCACTGTAAGGTTACAGGTGGGTCGCAATTTGCCCACTGTCCATAGGGTATATGCCAATTGATAGAATGTGGGCTGGGCCATACCAATATTCTCCTGGAATTGCAGGGGATGGCCAGTGCAAATCTCATCTACCCATTTCTGACCAGTCAGAACAGAAGTGTGCTTGGGAGTTTTCTCAAGTGAAGCTGCATAAAGAGTTGTGACAGCAGCAGCAGCTCCTGCAGCTAGGGCAACTACTCATCTATCTCTGATTCAACTACACCACCTCTTGTAGCTAGGATGGTTACACACTGATGCTTCTGCATAATGCTGCCTTTTTCTTTTGTAGTTTGCCACTGTCATGCAATTGAAGTTGAGGGAGACATTGGGGGCTAATCTGATCAGCATGATCAGTGAAATCCAATCTCTTTCAATTTTGTTCCCATGATTGGAGTCATGCCACACTTGTGACCATGAGATTTCATTCAAGTTCTCATGATTAGGTAGGGTTCAAATTCACTTCAATCAGATTTAATTGTGTTACTGAACAGGCCCTAATATCATTTAATAGAGTCACAACATATGGATGGGCCCATCCACAGTAAGATGTACCTCTGACAAAACATAAAGACAGGCCTGTCAGTAATCTCATGTATAGCATCATGACATATGGACAGGCCCTTCAGTAGTATTATTTATATTGTCACAACATATGGGCAGGCCCAGCCCCAGTAAGATGTACCCTGTCAAAACATAAAGATGGGCCCATCAGTAATGCTGTTTAATAGTGTCACAACATAAGGACAGGCCCTTCAGTAGTATTGTTTATATTGTCACAACATATGGATGGGCCCATCAGTAATATCATCTAATAGCATCACAACATAAGGACAGGCCCTTCAGTAGTATCATGTATATCATCACAACAAATGGATGGGCCCATCTAGCAAGATGCACCCCTGTTGCAACATAAGGACAAGTCCATGTATGGTATTCTTAGGCAGCAGAAAGGGAGATCCAAGCTATCTACATAAGGACAGTGTCACACACCAAAGGTGTTTGATGAGGTGGACATGGATACAGCTGATGAATGGAGATGAAGACCATAGCCCTCATGTGAAGAAGGACAGCCAGAAATGTCAGCAGTCATCCCTTGCACAAGAATGAGTCATCAGTGCCAAAGAAAAAGAAAGGGAGTGAGTTAAGCACCAGTTAAAATTCTTAAGCACCCATGTATGACATTCCAGTTTTCAACATATCTCCACTGTTTCTGCAGATACCAGGACCATTCCCACACTCACTTGTAGTGCTCAGCCATGCAATCCTACCTTCCAAGATTGGAAGGGATTTGTGCACTCCACATGTTTCTACAGCACTCCCTCCAAAAGATGCTCATTTTGCTAATTCTTCTGATATGGCTGCCTCCACATCAATCATTTTACTTGTCCCCTTTGCTATGGACCGTGGCTACATATATCTACCAGGAACTCCTACCAGCTTCTGTCCTGAAGCATCCTGGTACATCCCACCCTCATCTGTGCCCTCTCAGCCCATCCAGCTTGGACAGCATGTTCTTTTTGTCAGTATGACCTCTAGGAGGATGTTCTTTGGTCACCTCAGGTCTTTCATTTGCTTGGAAAGGTCTTATGTGGTCATTTCAGTCTCTCCAGTCCAAGAAGCATATGGATCCTTCCTCCCTGCTCCCTGCAAGGTCTTCATACTGGTCTCATCCATCATTCTTCCAAGATTGTGACAGCTACAGTATAATCTACTGTTCTCCACTCTCCCTGATCACATCCATGATGAGTATGATGCACATCTTGCCTCCTTGTTGCAAGATGCAGCAGAAGACACTCCCCCTTCATCCTTTCTTCCAACAAAGCCTCATTCATGAAGTTTTATTTGCTTCACTGAGAGGATGGTTTGGGGGGGAAGGTTGCAATCCCCTATGCTCCTGTCACCCCACAGACCCCCAAAGCTTGACCCCTGTTGACATCTGACTCACCCTGTCCACTTTTGGATGTACTATGTCAGCATCAGATCA